ACAGCTGATGGACAAAATCCTGTATGACCCAGTATAGGGAATATACCATAGTTCCCAATTTTTTAGAGTCCTTAGGCTCATGCAGGATTTTGTCCATCAACAGTATGGTTATACCAAGAAACCTCAGGAGCCTTTAGGAAACAGTTTTGGCAGCATTGGCAACTACTCAGGTCACTATGTTACAGCTCAGTGAGATCCACCGAACCACTATCGACTATCCCTGCATCAGTCCCGTTCCGACCGTAATTGAAAGCTTCGTGAAAACTGTAGCAAAAGCCTGAGTACTCTAAACCCTAAACCCTAAACCTTAGAACCACCGTCGTTGGGGCACCTTAGGGTGTGTTTTCGCTCAGGGTTAAGGTTTAGGGTTAGGCGTATGTTTTCATCAGCAATTCTGCTTCCTAGTGATCGTTAGGGTTTATGGTTAGGTGTTCACGTTTAAGTAGGATTTAAGCAGCAGGGAAAAAAGTACGGGCTTTGCAGCTGATACCCTCACTTACTGCTGATGGACAAAATCCTGCGTTACCCATAAGAAGGAAGATACCATAAGTCCCATAGTTTAGGGTCCTTAAGGTAATGCAGGATTTATATCCCAAAACCCTAAACCCCTATAGATCCCTTAAAAGAGCCCCTTAAAGGTACCCCTATAGATCCCTTTAAAGGAACCCTAGGATTTTGTCCATCAGCAGTATCACCTCGTCTCAAAGTCCTGCTGCCCCTGCAAGCTTTGTGGTTTAGGGTTTTGGGGTTTAGGGTTTTGGGGTTTAGGGTTTAGGGTTTAGGGTTTAGGGTTTAGGGCAGCAGGTACTCTCCGAAACCTAACTGGTCCTTTGGACCCTTAATCGCCCTTTAAAACCCTGCCCTATAGATCCCTTATAGAACTTCTGGAACCCCCATAGAACCCCTAATAGGGTTTAGGGTTTAGGGCCCTAACTCTTTCAAAGGGGAAAGGAGGGACCCTTAGTGGGGCTATAATGGGCTACATAATGGGCATTTTATAGCTATATTAAGGGTATATGTCTAGGGGTCCTGATTAAGGGTCCCTCCTTTTCCCCTTTGATACAAAGCACCCCCTAGAAACGCTAAACCCTGACTCCTAGACCCTCATGTAAATCTCTACTCTGCTTCTCAACGGTTTACTCTGTCCCTGAACCTTCACCTACGCCAAAGCAAAAAAAAGATCCCCCAAAACCACAGACCCTATAGCCTACAAACCCTCGACACCCGAAAATACGGAAGTTTTCCGAACCCCAATATAGCACCCTAAACAGTAGGATCCTCATTGGAAGGACCCCAAAAAAAGTACCCCCAATTTTCGGAGGCGAAGATCATAACCCTAAGCCCCAAACACCCAAAAACCCTAAACCCTAAACCCACCTAAACCCTAAACCCTATTTAAACGGGGCTTCCTGAACCCCAAAAACCCTCAACCGCCTAAACCCTTGAACTCGAACCCTATTGCGAGGGTCCGTCATTGCTTCGACGCTTCCTGCCTGTAACCCTGCTTAGACGCGTTGAGTGATCTTGTTTTATAGTCCCACCACACAGAAGAACGGCACAGAACGGCAGCGTGCAGTCTCAAGGCACTGCAAATATATCTGGTGTCGAGGATTTAAGCTATTTTGCATGGCTTCACAGCCCGGCCACTGTAGAGTTTCAAGCTCAGGGTGTAGAGTCCGTCCGAACTATAAACGCTAGCCTACACCCTCGAAAAGCCACTAACAGAAACCTGCAAGAAGTAAGTCCTCAATCCTGAAACCCCCATTGAACCCCTAAGAAGAAACATTATACTACAATTATAGGCCCTAAAATACGTTGCTTAAAGGCCCAGGGGACTTAGTAAGTCGGCTATAAGTCGGGTTATAATTGGGGTAACTCCATTTAGAGTACTTATAACACTACTTATAACCTACTTACTAAGTCCCCTGCTCCTCTAAGTAGACCCTAAACCCTATACCCCATAGATCCCTTTAAGGAGCCCTATAGATCCCTTTAAGAACCCTTACTAAGTCCCCTGGGCCTCTAAGTGTAAGATCTGGGCCTCAAACCGATCGTGACAGGCGGCCAATGCGCCGATAGCTTCCGGTGGCACTGCAGTGGGATCCTGCTTCGACGGATGTAAGATTCCCAGAGACTCCAGTATCCCTTCATAAAGGGTTTAGGGTTTAGGGCAGTAGAGACTCCAGTATCCCTTTTCTAAGGGTTTAGGGTTGTACTGCAGTGGGATCCTGCTCCGGCGGAACGCCGAAATCATTAGAATAGCGTTCCTTTCATGGGCTCTATATAACGGTTCCTTTCAGGATTCTATAAGGGATCTATATAGGGGCCTAAATAGTTACCAATACCTAAAGTACCCCTAATTTTCGGAAACTCCCATATCCCTTAACTTAGGAATATTCCTTGAATCAGATTAGGGGTCTTACTATAACTGATGTAAGGGTCCCAGAGACTCCAGTATCCCTTAATTAAGGGTTTAGGGTTTAAAGGGCTTGTAGGGCTTATAGGGTTTATAGGGTCTAGGGTTTAGGGCTTAGTGAGAATATACCTTAAACCATTGAATGACCCCTGATCTGACCTAAAAGATATTCCTAAATTAAGGGGTAAAACAAAAGAGCCCCCAAAAGGCCCCCATCTTCCGAGGGGACATGACCCCAAGAAGGGAACGAGTTGCCCATTCGACAAGCGGGGCGACGAAGTAAGCAAAAGAAAGCCACCTACCCAAAATGCTCGCCAGAAAGCAATTATATGTATGTAACACGAACGTAGAAATAAACCATAGCCATTCAACATAGAGACACAGTTGAACAAGACAAGAAACAGGTGAGATACTATAGCCAAACTTTCCTGAAGGCAGACACAAAAAAATCAACAACAACTGCACCCCTGAACCCTATAACAAACAGCCTGAACCCTAAGAAGGAGAGACAGACAAAGACCATGAACACTAAACCCTAAACCCCTAAACCCCGAACCCTAAACCCCGAAACCCTAAACCCCTAAACCCGAAACCCCTAAACCCCTAAACCCCCAAACCCCGAAACCCTAAACCCCTAAACCCCAACCCTAAACCCCTAAACCCCGAAACCCTAAACCCCCAAACCCCTAAACCCCCAACCCCCCAAACCTTATAGATCCCTTTCAAGGAACCCTAAACCCACCAAAAAAAAACCAAAAGAGGCATCCTCCCCAGGTGCTGCCAAGACCGTTGCCTGGGCTCCCGGGAGTTCTTTGGATAGCGCCGTTAGAGTTTTGGGGCTTTAGGGGTGTTAGGGGTGTTTAGGGGTTTTGGGGTTTAGGGTTTAGGGTCCAGGTTTTTAGGGGTTTTGGGGTTTAGGGGTTTAGCGGTGTAGGATTTAGGGCTTGGTTTATGTAGGGTTTAGGGTTGCGGAAGGGGCAGCGTCCTTAAGGTGCATGTCAGCAGGGGTGTCCGTAGTGCAGGGCCTGCTCACAGCATGGCCGGGCATAAACGGTTTAGGGTTTAGGGCTTAGGGGTGTAAGGCCGTCCACCAGGGTTTAGGGCCTAGGGTCCCATAGGGAGGAGTAAAAAAAGAAGCACAATGATGATCATAGAAACAAAAGTTAATTTTGCAGTGGTCAACAACAGAAGAAGAGTGATGAGGGTACTAGTTAGCGCTCCTCCTCCTCCTCCTCCTCGTCCTCCTCCTCCTCGTGCTCTTACTCTAGCTCATTCCTACCTTCGCAACACCTCGACCCCCTGAACCCTAAACCGAAAAACACAAAAAGCCTACAAATAGAACAAAACCATATAGAAACCTTGCATGCATCCTTCCAGAAGGACCCGATACCTGCCAACAGACCTTGAACACCCCACCCGAAACCCCAAACCAACTTAAATCCTACTCCATCCTTGAAACCTAGAATCCTGGGACTAAAATCCTGGACCCTTAAAGCCCCTTGTCCCCTTCAACATGACCCAAAAACCCAAACCCCAACTAATCCCTAAAACCCTAAACCCTGAACCCTAAAATCTGAATCCTAAACCACCCTAATCGCGCAAAAAAAGGGCCAGCCAGACTTTGGGCAGCAAGAAAACCAGCGCTCGAGCCATCAGAGCCCCTGTCGACGGGTGTACCAGGGGTTTGGGCTGAGGGTTTAGGGTTTAGGGTAGGGGTTTTGGCTCTCTTCTTCAACAACCGGGCCAAAAAAAGCTCAAACTGTCCAAGACAGACCAAGTTATGTAAGGCCAAAAGGTTTTAAGTTCTCCCATTGGCTATCTAAGTTGGGCTTTGGGTTTAAAAGGCTTAGCATTTAGGGTTCTCGGGAGGTTCGGGGCTGAAGCTCTGGGGGCTCAGGGCTCCGTAGGGCTAGTTATCATAGGGATCCTTAGGGGTGTAGGGGGAGGGGGGGTAGGGGGCCTTAAGGCCCATAATAAGGACTAATAATAGCCCTATTTAAGGAAATATAGTCCCCTACACCCCTCCCCCCTACACCCCTAAGGATCCCTATGAAGTTACGGGAGCTTCGTAGACTTTCTACAGGGCTTTCTTGGGTGTATGGTGTTTCGGAGAGTGCGGAGTTTTGGGCTCAGGGCCGACAGATACGGCTGAGGATAAAAATCCTGCATTATTCATAAGAAGGCTTTGCTGCTGAGTTCATAAGCCCCAAAAGAACTACACTTTTAGATTTATCGTGGATAGTATTATCCCAAAAAGTGTAAAGCGTATCCAATAAGGAACACGTGTACCATAATTAATTCCCATTCTTTAGGGTCACTAAGGTAATGCAGGATTTATATTACCAACCGTATGGGGGCGTCTTGAGGTTAGATGACCTTTTTTAGCGGACGTCCCTCAGCTGAAGGTTTCCGGTGTTGGAACTCGGTTTGGGGCGTAAGGCTAGGGGTGTTGGTTTACACTTCAGGGAAAGTCTATCCTTGGATATCTGTAGTGTTTCCGGACTTGTTCACAGCCATGCAAGGATGTCAGCGGGCGAGTTCGTTCAGCCACATGCGATCATAAGGCAAATGGAATGCCGCGAGCCTAGCTCCGCTGACGTCGGATCTGCTGCAATATCTCGCTCTTGCCGGCGCGACCAGTGGGATTGCGAAACCGAATAAACTCTATTCCGGGGAGCTCGCGATGAAGGACCCTCTGGGTCTCCTGTGCCCTGGCAGCTCCGGAGAAGGACAGTACCAACTCCCGGATGTCGACCCAAGACAAGTTGTCTCTCAGGATTCGCTCGCGGAAGCTATGCGTGTCACTCCAGGAACCATCCAGTATGAGTCGTGGACATCGTAACTTGGGAGGACACGGATGTTCGGTATTTATTGCTCAAGGCTTAGGGCTAAGGGCTACACTTCAGAAAGCAAAAAGACTAGATGACTAACTCCAACCGCTCATGTCTTCAAATTATTCCCCCCGCCCCTTCCAAATCTCTTCCCCAGCAACAAGTTCTAGCAAGTTCTACGGTTTCGAGCTGCACATGTTCAGTCCTGTGCCAAATTTATGGTAGCCTTTCGGGTCTGCAGCCCTCCAAACCCTAAACCCGAAACCCTAAACCAAGCCCGTCTAAGTTACAGCCGAAACCCGTACAAAACAGGCCTCAACCTAGACCCTTAATGCAGTACCTTTTTTGGGGTGGTCTATTTTATGATTAGGATCCCAAAATGAGAAACTAAGGCAACCAAAGCAAGGTACTACTTAGAAGGCCCCCCCACCCTGTAATAGTGGTATAGTAGGAATATAATAGGACCCTAAAAAAATCCTTATAGTCACTATTTCAGGGTGTGGGGCCTCTAAGTGGGTGGTTCTCAACCAACGTCCCTTTTTGGGTACTTAGGGTTTAGGGTTTAGGGGCTTAGGGTTTAGGTTGTAGAGTTTTGGGTTTAGGGTTCCCTAAATTTTAGGTGCCGCATTATGCTAGGGAACCAATAAGGGACCCTGGTTTTGACAATCACGCAGATAATTACAAAATGGTCTTCCTCAGGGCTTGGATGACATACTATACTGCTGATGGTCAAAATCCTGCATTACCCATCACAAGGAAGATCCCATAAGTCCCATAGTTTAGAGTCCTCAGGGTCATGCCGGATTTTGTCCATCAACAGTAACTATTAGAGAAGCTCGAAAGCCTTCGGGTTCCTTATTGTACGCGAAGTATATTGTACTTTTCTATAGGAGCCTTAATTATTGGAATAGGGTTTCGGGGCCCATTGTACTGAAATTCTAAGAAGGAGCCCCCACAATAGTGAGGATAGTTATCTAGGCCCCTATAGTATCTCGCGTTTTGTTCAAGCCCTCACCCCTAAACCCTGCCCTGTGGCACAAGAACCCCCAGCCGAGCCTAGGACCATAGTCGGAGCGATGACCCCAGTGGGCGTGGGGCAGGACAGCGCGAGCAGCGTCAGTAGCAGCTTGATGAGCCTAAGGGGGTTTCAGGGTTTAGGGTTTAGGGGTTTGGGGTTTGGGGGTTTAGGGTGTAGGGTTTCGGGTTTAGGGGTTTAGGGGTTCAGGGGTTTTGGGTTTAGGTTTAGGTCTAGACTCAAGCGAGACGGGGCGCGCAGCTGCAAGGAGCGTCTGGAATGGGCCCAACGGCTCGTTCACCCACGAGGAGCTCCCATGAAAGCCTTGAAGCCGTGGAGAGTGTTTAGGGTTTAGGCATTGGGGTTTTGGGTTTAGGGTTTAGAGTTTGGGGTTTAGGCGTTGGGGTTTGGGGTTTAGGTGTTGCGGTTTTGGGTTAGGGTTTAGGGCTGAGGTGTTGGGGCTTCGGGTTTAGGGTTTACACTTTAGGTGTTGAGGTTTTGGGTTTAGGTTTTGGGGTTTGGGGTTTAAGGTCCAATTGGGTTTAGGGTCTTCGGTTTAGGGTTAAGGTTACGGAGCAAACGGCGCATCCCCACAGCTCGACGCTTTCATGGCCTGAAGAGTTTGTAATAATATCCCTGCATACTTCCTTTACCGCTATGCTATAATATCCACCAAGACCGCTTGTCAATTATTAAGGCCCCGGTATTAAACTCTTGCAGCCTGCGTGCGGGAGGTTGAAACCTTCTAGAACCCTAAACCCTAAACCCGAATCATTCTTGAACTCTAAGGCCATAACGCTACATCCTAAACCCCAAACCTTACACCCCCAAACCAATCTCTAAACCCTACACCCTAAGTTCCAAACCCAAAACCCTAAACCCCACACCCTACACCCTAAACCCTAAAACCCCAAACCCAAAACCCTACACCCCCAACCCCTGGCACCTTTGCTGAACAGCGCATTCAGCAGGGCTGGCTGCTGCTGGCCGTGGAGCAAAGCCAGCGGCCAGGTGAGTCCAGAATTCCTTGAAGCGACGGATGGATCGAGGGTTTAGGGTTTAGGGTTTGGGTTTTAGGGTTAAGGGTTTAGGGGTTTAGGGTTTAGGGTTAGGGGTTTAGGGTTTATAAGGGTTCCTTTAAAGGGATCTGTATGGGGTTTCTTGGTTCCTTGAAGGGATCTATCAGAGTGCTGTTACTTAAAGGATCATGGGACTTAGTAACTAGGGTTATAATAACGGTAACTATACTTATAACTACTTATAACCCCAATTAAGGTACTTATAATTATACTAACTAAGTCCCATGATCCTCCAAGTAGGGTTTGGGATATGAGGCTTGGGGCTCGGATGTAGGGTTCAAGGATTCGGATTTCGGACTTTCTGCTTTCGTCTTTACCTGGACCCTAAGGCCTAAGGAACCTACCTTTTTAGGGCCCCCTAGTATGATTTCTTTTTTGTAAGTCCCTAAGAAGGTAGGTCTTTTGGGGTTAAGGTATGCTTTAGTGTTTGGGGCTGTCTGTTGAGGGAAAGTAGGCCTAGTTCTGTCATAGCAACCCTCAAGGAAAGTACCAAAACCGATCCATCTTGTCTTTGCGGGCAGGGCCACGGAAAAGGACAATCCCGGTCCCTTCTCCACTTGGGACCTTGAGCCTCAAAATTATGGTCCCTTTTTGGGTCCTTCTTACAACATGGCACCTAGTATTTAGGGTACCCAAAAAGGGATCATAACTTTGACAACTGCCCAAACCCAAAACCCCGAAAAAAACCCTAAATCTCAAACCCTAACCTTGAAACCCTCATGGGTTTATAGGGTTTAGGGTGTACCTTAAGCCGGAATAACCTGCCTTTTTAGGGCTCCTTATTCTGATTTCTTTATATAAGTCCCTAAAAAGGTAGGTCATTCCGGCTTAAGGTAGGGCTTAGGGTTTAGGGCTTAGTGCTTAGGATTAAGGTTCAAGGTTCAGGGACCCTCAACCCTGACCCCACGGGCCCGGACTGGGATCCGAAACTAGACACACCATCTGGCCGGAAAGAATGCGTGGTTCCTTTAAAGGGAACTCCAGAAAGTTGGAATATGGAATAATGGCAGGATCCCCTATAATTTACCATAAACGGGCTAGGATAATCATATAACAGCTTTTTGGCTTCTACTGTAAGGGGATCTAAAGAAGGGTTTAATTAGGGTTTAGGGTTGCCTTCTCTAAGAACCCCCTAACTTTCTATGATGGCCAAAGACCGATGTTCCGAATGAAAACTTCCACACATTATGGATCGCATGCAGTTCGTTGAAAGCCGGGTCACAAAGCTGCGACCGCCATAACCTGACAACGAATGGGGGAATCAACTGTCTGTGAGTTTCGAAGAGCCCTAAGCTTATAAACCCCTAAGCCTAAACCCCTGCGCCTACACCCCCAAAACTCGAAATCCTAAATTCCCATCCATACATCCGCGAAACTATCCCCTAAGCCTTCTGGTTCAGGGCTTTGGCTTTAGCACACGTAGGGTCAAACACCCTTCAGATTCGACCTAGCCTGACCAGAAACATGGCATCAGATCAAGGAAATAAACACTAAACCAACAAGCATGCTTTCCTACTTCAAATCCCGAAACCCCACATCCTGAAACCCTAATTCAGCAGATACCACCACCACGACGAATAATACAAACACCTCAACCCTAAACCCTAAACCCAAAACAACAAGAGGCCACATCACACGAAGTCAGGCCACCATCGCCAAGTCCCGCCAGCGCAAGCCGCGCACCGGCCCACGCCCAGAGCAGAACTTGGAAGAGAGTCGGGCCATGCGGTCCTTGCCCCAGAGAGCCCAATACCCCCTAATGAAGGAATATAGCTTAAATCATAATATGAAGCCCTATATAATTTAAGCCATATTCCTTAATTAAGGGTATTGGGCTCTCTGGGCAGAGACTCAAAACCCCCATGTAGCCATAGTAAGGAAACAATGCTAACTGCTATCGACTCCTGCTCTGGTAATTTGAAATGAACTCTATGACAAGCACACAGTTACCCAAAGAGCAAAAAAAGGTATGTTTCTCGATTGAGCAGTGTGGGCATGGCTTGCTTGAGAGGGTTTAAAACTTAGAGTTGTTGGGGGGGTTTGGTTCATTTGATGGGAGTTTCCGAGAATAGGGGACCCTATTATAGTAGGGTACCCTAATTTTCGGAAACTCCCATTTAAGCTGTACGAGGTTGGGCTTCTAGGCTTCAGCAACGTCGGATTTGAGAGTCCAGCTTGTTGAAGGCCTTTGACAATTCCGGTGTCCTCCCTTTCTTCCGGCCCATTTTAGGGTTCACGTTTTAGGCTTCGGGCCCTGCTTCTGCGTAGATTGTAGCAGGCGTCTTACTCTAATTCCGGATGGTCAACCCGGGACCCTGTGTTGAGAGAATTCGACAGTTGGTTCTATATGGGTGGTTGTCAAAGTTATGGCCCCTTTTTGGGTACCCTAAATAACAGGTGCCGTATTATAATAGGGACCCAAAAAGGGACGCAAATTTTGACAGCCACCCATATGTGTGGGCTTACTTTGCTTTTCGGTGGAGTCTTCCTCAACCCCTGACGCCCCCGGAGCCTGCAACCCAAAGAGGAAAAAAAGGGACGTCGGCTTAGTGTAAGAACCCGATTAAGAAAGCCTGGGCCTATAACCCCAAAATAATAGGTTTCATATAAGGAACCCTAAGAAAGGCCCAAGGTTTCTTAATCAGGTTCCTACATTAGTGTGGAGTCTGCGTTTAAACTCTGAGCTTGGTTGTCCTTGGGAGCCGAGTATCCTAGCCCGAATAGGGTTGACCTTCTTAAGGAACGGGTCACTGCTTGCTTGGAAAGCCTTTTGCAGTGCCCATTGAAGACATCATGCCATACGACAGCGCTCTCTGGCTGTCTTCGACGTCTTACCCTGAGACTCCATGGACCCATGTAGTAGGTACTTAGGCCTTAAAGGGGTCCCTACCTGGTACTTTCAGGCCTAAGTACCTACTACATGGGTACATGGAGCCTTTGGGTTACGACACCAGAGAAAAACAACTCTGGCACTTTCCGCCCGCCAGCTCTGCTTTCACACGCGCAAGCTCGTTCAGATCAGCAACGGACAGCTGCTTAGCCGCCTAAACCCTAAACCTTAAGCCCTCATAATTCCGACCCCGACATGATCCTGTACATAACCCTACCTTAAGCCGGTACCTTAAGCCGGAATAACCTACCGTTTTAGGGTTCCTTATTATGATTTCCTTATATAAGTCCTTAAACGGGTAGGTTATTCTGGCTTAAGGTAAACCCTAAACCCTAACCCTAAACCCTCAAACCGTAAGCCCCTAAACCCCTCCTCCCGTAACCATGAGTCTAGGGTTTGGATTTAGGGTCGAAGCTGCGGAAATTTAGCTTGCGCGGGCTTGCTGGGATGGGATCTCTCAAAACACGCGACATTAGGGTTTAGGGTTAGGGTTGAAGTTTCTGTTTTTCTTTGCAAGGTCTAGAGCTTGTAGGGTCTACGCAAGGGTTTCTATGCAAGCTTGATACGGGTCTGTCACGGCTCCAGGGTCATTACTTTAAAAGTCAGGTCACAACGGATGTAGCTCAAGATTTAAGTTTTCAATTATCCGAATGTGGCTGTCTTAAATATTTGTAACCACCTGTCACCTTACTATAGCGGCCTAACCGCCTAAATGATTACCAGTACTATTTTCGGGGGTTCCTGATTATAGCAATCGTATATTATACCCTAAAATCCTATTCTGATCGTTATTAGTATGACAGGAAACAACACAAAAAAAACGCGTGTTTCACTGCAAAAACACGGGGGGGGGCCTCTGCGTAAGCCCCTTACACCCCCTGCAGCCGGAAGCCGAGAAGCATGCATCAAGTTGAAAGCGCCACCCAGTAGGCCGAAAACGGCGCCAATGATGAGGCAGAATACCGCACAGCCCAAGGGATAGTTCCTGTCTAGGGTTTAGGGTTCAGGGTTTAGGGGCTTCGGGCTTAAGGTTTAGGTAAAAAGGAGCACAGCCCAAGGGATACTTCCTGCTATTCTTGCAGGCTTCTACAGACTTTATTAGGAACTGCAGTTGCAAGGGTGCTGCCAGGGTTTTATTGGGTCAGCATTTCGGGCTCCTGTCGAACAGTCTCCGGTAACTCTATCTGCTTGAAGATGCCTCACACCTCTAATCATGACTCTAATCCCTACACCCGAAACATCCCGCAACCAGACCTTAAACCCTAAACCGTGAACCCTAAACCCTAAACCGTGTCCCGGGTACTCCTGAAAGAATAACAGCTCTGACATGGCTCCCCAACATTCGACATGAGAATCCTAACAAGAGAATTCCGACACGGTTTAGGGTTTAGGTGCCCAAATCCTCTACGACCTCGTCCCTTGTTGACCATAGCAAAAGTGATCCCCAGACAACATCAACCAACAGAATTACCGCGACTTGTTGTACTGATCAAACCCCCGAGCCCTACACCCCAAACCCCAAACCCTAAACCCCAAACCCTAAACCCTACACCCTAACCCCAAAGCCTGAACCCTGAACCCTCCAAACCTCTACCCTGAACCCCAAACCCTGAAGGCCCTAAAATTAATCCTATCGGAGTCCTCACAAGGTGGGATGAAGGTAGGTGGGAAAAAGGATCCCCTATATAAGGACTCTTATTTCGGAATATCCCAAATACCTTCCCAGAGACTCCAAACCCTAAACCCTAAACCCCTAAAGCCCCTAAAGCCCCTAAACCCTAAACCTACCTTCATCCTACCTTTTGAGGCCCCCGATCCTCACCATCCCTTCGTTGGGGGAGACGTCGGAATCCAGCAGCTGAGCGTAGCCCGCGCCAGAGTCCCAGGACTTGAGGAGATACCTGGGAGCTTGGGGTTCCGAGCTTAGGGTTCCTTAAAGGGATCTATAGGGTTCCTTAAAGGGCTCCTTAAAGGGATCTATAGGGTTCCTTATAAAGGTTTAGGGTTTCGAGCTTAGGGTTTAGGGTTTTAGGGGCTTTAGGGGTTTCGGGGTTTAGGCTTTCGAGTTTAGGGTTTAGGGGCTTTAGGGGCTTTAGGGGTTTCGGGTTTCGGGTTTATGGGTTTAGGGTTTAGGGTTTATGGGTTTCGGGTTTAGGGTTTATGGGTTTCGGGTTTAGGGTGTAGGGGCCCTATAGGGCTCCTTCTAAGGGACCTATAAACGCTCCTTTTAAGGGCTCCTCTAAGGGCTCCTTTAAGGGACCTATAAACGCTCCTTTTAAGGGCTCCTCTAAGGGATCTATTGAAGCTCATTCTCCGGGCTCCTTGAACTAAGGGATCCATTAAGGCTCCTTTTACAGGGGTTCCTTTAAAGGGGTCTATTTTAGGGTTCCTAGGGTTCCTTTAAAGGGGTCTAAAAGGGTTACCATAAGGAGATCTATATGGTAACTATCATAAAGTTGGAAACCGGATTAAGGCCAAATAGTGCTGGGATTCCCTATACATTACTCTTGAGGATTTAGGCTATTGGGTTTGCAACTTTTGGGCTTCTACTGTAAGCATTGTTGGGTTTGGGGCTTGGGGTTTGGGGCTTCTGTGCTCAGGGTTTGGGGCTTTAGGGTGTAGGGCGTAGGTGGCTTAGGCTTTCCTATCAAACCTTGCTTATGTGTAGGGCCCCCATAAGTGTTTTTTCAGGACTTATGTTTTTGTTTAGGGCTTAGGGTGTATGGGTTAGGGTCTGGGGCTTATCAGGTGGTCTTCTTTAAAGAAAGCATCTTGAAGATGCCCCTGGAAAAGGGGACAACGTTTAGCGGTTTAGCATGATGTGCAGGATCTAGGATTTAGAATCTTTGGTTTTTTGGTGCTTAGGGCTTACCTTAACCCCAAATAACCCACCTTTTGCAGGACTAATGTAAGGAAATCATAATCGGAACCCTAGAAAGGAAGGCTTTGCAGGGTCCAGGTAGATCTTGAGGAAACACCTACACTTTGGGGCAACTGCTGATCTGCCTTAACCTACCAAGACCCTACTTTTTGTGTAGGGTTCCTATATATTCCATATTATGGTTGATAATAAGAACCTACAAAAACGTAGGGTTTGGTAGATTGATCTAGATTTTGGATATCGATTTTGGAAATCCAAGCATGTAGGGTTTATGGTTGATGATGTATTGGTTCTTTATTGAAACTCTTTGAAGCTCAGAAAAGTCCCAGCTATACTAGCCCAAAACCCTAAACCCTAAACCCTAAACCCTAAGCCCCAACACTAGAGCTCCTATTAAACCCTGACTGTTCCTTGAACCTCAAATACTTAAAGGATCATGGAACTTAGTAACTTTAAAGGGCTCCTTAAAGGGATCTATAGGGGTTCCTTAAAGGGATCTGTAGGGTTTAGGGTTTAGGGTTTACTTAAAGGATCATGGGACTTAGTAACTAGGGTTTTAATTACGATAACTATACTTATAACTACTTATAACCCCAATTAGGGTACTTATAATTATGCTTCCCAAGTCCCTTGAACCTCAAATAGAACCTGCTTAATTTGATCGCTAAGAGAGCTAGGATGATTTCGCGGGGCATTGGAGGAGCTGCTTGGAGGATCATGGGACTTAGGAAGTAGAACTATAAGTACCTTAATTGGGGTTATACGTAGTTATAAGTATAGTTACCGTAATTATAACCCTAGTTACTAAGTCCCATGATCCTTTAAGTGCGGATTGACGTTCAAACTTCAAACCAACGCACTGGCACCCGATGCACCAGAGCTTATGATAAGGAAGGGTTTAGGGTCCTTCTAAAGGTTCACTTAGAGCTCTGAAGGATCCAATCACGACCGTCAGAGTTGAAAAAGCGTGCTCACAGCCCCTAAGCCCCAAGACTCTCAAGCCCAAAAACAAAAAAGCCGCGAACCCCTCAACACTTCCCACCCTAAACCCTAAACTCTAAACCCTAAAACCTAATAAACCCTAAACTAAAGCCCTCAACCCCAAACCCTAAAACCCTAAACCCCTAAGCCCTAAGACTGGCCGCGTTGACACGGCCCCACAGAAGGCGGCAACAAAGCATCCCCAATACACCTGCTAGGGTTTACAGTAGAAGCCAGAAAGTTGGAATATCATTATCGTAACCCCTTTAAGGTAAATTATCGGGGATCCTACCATTAATCCATATTCCAACTTTCTGGAGTTCCCTATAGGGTATGGTTCAGGGTTTAGGGTTTAGGGTTGAGGGTTTAGGGTTTAGGGTTTTAGGGTTTAGGGTTTAGGGCTTTAGGGTTTTAGGGTTTAGGGTTTAGGGATTTAGGGTTTAGGGCTTAGGGTTTCGAGTCCGGGTTTACGCTTTGAAGTTCACGGACCTGTCAAGCTCAGCCTTGTAGGAATATTTTGAAGGGGTTCCATCAGATGCCGTCGGGCTGTGCACGGGTATTTGGGTTTACTAAAAAGATCATGAGACTTAGAAACTAGGGTTATAAGTCCCAGGATCCTCCAAGTATTTGGGTTTAAGATCGAGGGCCTCAAGTCAACCTCAGTCCTCCTGAGCCTTTTAAGTACCTCAGCCGTTGAGACATCAGAGCTGACCTTTCTTCCGTGCAATTTCGGGTTCGGGGCTTTCAGCAGCCCCGGGGATAGGGGTATAGGCGTATGGTACAGTGCTCGTCAAGGACGCCTTTTCGACTTGAAAAGGGCGTGGTCTCGCACCCTAAACTTTAAACCCTAAACCCCGTAAACCCCTAAACCCTAAACCCTTTAACCCTAAACCCCCTAAACCCTTGAAAACCCCCTAGTCCCTAAACCCTAAACCCTTAAACCCTAAAACCCCTTAAACCCTAAACCCCCTAAACCCTTAAACCTCCTAAACCCTTAAACCCCCTAAGCCCTAAACCCTAAACCCTTAAACCTGAAGGTTTGGGTGCTTGGGGACGTCGAGCCTCGGGATGATAAGGGAAGAGAGATTACGCAGCGCACAGGTTTCGCAAGATTTTGGAGCGGATTTTGCGTGCCCAGAGACTCCAATATCCCTTAATTAAATCATATTAAGGGTCCTGCTATAATTTAAGGCATATTCCTTAATTAAGGGGTATTGGAGTCTCTGGGTGCCCACCGTTTACAACGAAATAAAAGTTTAAATCTTCGCATAATACGGCTTTACACATTCGATTTCTGACAAGTTTGCATACCCAAATGATATGTCCTTTGATGGTTTGTATAGCTTCGGGGGCCGAGGATTTCTATGTCTTGAACTGCAAACCGCGACACCTAGACATTGCAAAAGTGTTGAAGCCGCTAAACCCCAAACGCTAAACTCTAAACCCTGAACCCTAAACCCTAAACGCCTGAAATGTGTAGATTTGTGGTAGCATCAGCTCCAGGGATAGGAGCACGCCACCCAACGGCCTCGGAATCAGGGTTTCGGTTTGGGGTTTAGGGCTTAGGGTTTAGGGTTTAGGTTTTAGCTCGCTTTCTGGCTGCGGGCTTCGTAACCCTACACCGCGAGCAATGTCAGCACAGGCAACCTTGTGGAAAAACGCCGGCATCGTTCAAGATCGTGAACATGGCACAAAAATCCTGCTGCTTACGATGCCGTCTGGCCAGCATCTGTCACGAGTGGGAGTAGGTGGGTTTAGGGGTTGCGTAGGGGGAGTTGGCGCGCCCTCACAGCTGACAGTTTTTCGTCTGGGAATGCTGCGCGGTGAGAGTTGCATAGGGGAGCCTCATATAACAGATAATATAGCACCGTAAATAGTGGGATCCTTGCTACAATGACCCCAAAATATGGCACCCTACGTAATTTTCGGAAACTCCAATATAGATTAGAAGCTGCCCCCACCCCGTAGTAGTTGACTATAAGGATTCTATTAGGGCCCTGCTATATTCCTATTATACCACTATTACAGGGTGGGGGCCCCTTCTAAAACATAGAAAATTGTAAATAGGGCCCCAAAAAAGCACATAAGCAAAAATTAGGGTAGGGATATCCCATATAAATCCCCTTATAATGAAGCCCAATAAGGTAGGGATATCCCCATAAAATGCTTATGCTTATGTGCTTTTTGGGTCCCCAAGTAAAACAATTTGAACCCAGAGTCCCTTCACACAGACTGGCCTTAATAGCTGGAATTTGTTTGGGAGAACTTTATAGTACAAGTATTTCACGGCACAATCAGGAATTATCTAGGCCCTTATACAAACGCCAAAACCACAAAAAAAAAAAAAAAGAAACGAAACCCCATACCCCTAAGACCTGAAGCCTAAACCCTAAACGCCCCAACCCCAAAACCCCGAAACCCAAAAATCCTAAACCTCCCCCTACCTTAACCTAGGAAAAAAAGGGCTCCCTTTTGTGTCGTGGGTAACTTTACTAGGACTACAAAAAGGGAGTAAGCGTACTACTGGGCATCCTCGTTGAATCAAGGGAAGGATTGAGGGTTCAGGGTTCAGGGTTTAGGGTTTAGGGTTTAGGGTTCAGGGTTGCCTTATGAGGGCTCCTTTAAGGGATCTATCAGAGTGCTATTACAGGGAACTCCAGAAAGTTGGAATATGGTTTCATGGTAGGATACCCTATAACTTACCATAAAGGGTTTAGGATAATCATATTCCAACTTTCTGGCTTTTACTTTAAGGGATCTATCAGAGTGCTATTAGAGTAGAAGCCAGAAAGTTGGAATATCATTGTCCTCATGCCGTTAAGGTAAAGCAAAAGGGATCCTAGCACTAATCCTCCTAAAACCATGTTCCAACTTTCTGGCGTCTACTATATAAGGGCTCCTTTAAGGGATCTATCAGAGTGCTATTAGGGTTTGGGATCCTAGTTTTTGGGTCTCCTAGAACCCCCAAACTCTGCAGCTTTCAGGGCGAGGAAAAGGTCGCTGCCACTCCGCAGGCGCACGCCGCGTGGAGGATGTGCACGGAAATTTCCTCAGATACCCAGGGACTATAAAGGGTTCCTTAAAGGGTCCTTAAGGAGATTGGGGAATATACCAGGGTACCTTAAAGAGTTCCTTAAGGACATTAAGATATATTCCTTGATTAGGGACTATTCCTTAAAGTATAGTAGGATCCTTTATATGATTTAGGGGGAATTTCCTCAGATGCTGCGAGGATCCAATATGCCTTAAGGAATATACCAGGGTTCCTTAAAGAGTTCCTTCGAAGGGATCTATACCGGGTTCTATTGAAAGAGTGGCTTGGGGTTCCGGGGTTTAAGATTCAGGGTTCAACAACTGAAACCCAGAGACTCCAATATCCCTTAATTAATTCAGGGTATTAGGGTTTAGGGTTTAGGGCTTCGTTTAGGGTCTATAAATTGAAATGAAAGAGTAGCTTAAGGTTCCGGGGGTTATGGTTCAGTTGACAACTACCCACATAGGGCCTGGACCGCAAGACCCAGAACCAGAAAACTTGAGACGTTTTAGGGCTTGTCTGTTAGCTTCTTTTCGTTACGCAGACACTGTATAGATTTAGGGTCTGGGACCCAGACCCCACACCCCTAAACCCGTGAAACCCAAAGACCAAACGCTCCTAAATTCCCATCGGTTTAGGGTTTAGGGTTTAGGGTTCAAGGCTTCACCCACCCGTCCCGATGTGTTTGAACCCTCATGACTTTTTAAGGCCATCGAGAATCGGGGTTTCAACTAAAACCTCGATGTGCGGTTTCGGGTCCCAGGATTGGTCCATCGGATCTCGGGGGCGCTAAATTCTAATGAAAAACATCACGTTTGTGTGCCTGCTGAAAACCATCCAGCCCTAAACCCTAAACCCTAAAACCCTAAACCCTAAAACCCCTAAAACCCTCAAACCCAAAACCCTAAACCCTAAAACCCCTAAAACCCCTAAAACCCTCAAACCATAAAACCTCAACCGTTTCGAGGTTTTCGGGTCAGGGTTTCCCTGCAAACCTCAATACCGATGATGAGTTTAGCGGTGCTTTCATTCTACCTTACAGTAGAAGCCAGAAAGTTGGAATATGGCTTTAGAAGGATTCGTGCTAGGATCCCTTATACTTTACCTTAAGGGCATGAGGACAATGATGTTCCAACTTTCTGGCTTCTACTGTAAACTACCGAACCCTACTTTTGTTGTAGGTTCTTATAACAAACCCTAATATGGAATTTATAGGGACCCTACAAAGAAGAAGGCTTTGGTAAGTTAAGGTATGTAGTCGCGATGAAACGATTTGTTTGTGTCGCTTTTGTATTGAGGTAACAGCTTAGTGAACCCAACACTCCAACAGATTGACCCAATTAAGCAAGACATAAACGGCTGTATCACTATGACTACTTACTCGCATAGGAGCCTTGACATAATGAATTTTGCCACTGACAACTTCCGGCCTGTGTAAAGATTTCACATTAATTGGTGACATGAGAAAGCTCTGCAATATCTGAATGTTAGTGGATTCTTGGGGCGGGTGGGTTTATTTCGGAAAACCGGCAGCTTGACTAGCGAATGCTCGATCCGGAGCTGCTGAACCTAAACCCTATCCCCATTCCTCTAAACCCTCAACCCTATTCCTCTAAAACCCCCAACCCTATTCCCCTAAACCCTAAAGCCCTAAACCCTATGTTGCTAACCTCCAAACCCCAAACGCCTCATCAAAGTCTCAGACCCCTGAACCCTAGACCATGAACCCCAATCCTAAACCTATATAGAACCCTTATAAAACCCTTTAAGAAACCCCTCATTAGTCTTCCGCCATAAGGGAGAGTCTTGCCCGCTTGTTGCCGTGCACTTTCGCATCCAGAGCTGTCTTCGCCCTATCAAAGTGCAGGCCAAACTCCAAACTGCATTTTCTCTTCTTCGCACCGTCGAGCTGCATGAAGGCTCCCACGTTCATGAAAAGTTTGCGCACCGGGTGCCTTGTGAAAGCAAAGCTCTTGCCAGCACGAGGGCACGCCAAGTCGTGTTGGTAATGGCCGTTGCCGAGGCAGTGCTTGCAGGAGAGGATCTGTTGCAGCGCGGACTTCACAGCTGGCAGCCAAAAAATGTTGCCCCCCAGGTGCGTTTTCAGCACATCATTGGCCACTTCCTGCAGGGCTGTTCTGATCTGCTCTTCCACAGAGGTTTCCTCATCCACCCCTAATTTTCGGAATCTCCCCCATACCCTAAACCCTGAACTCCTACTTGGTGGAGGCCCAGGGGCCTTAGTAAGTCGGGTTACAATTGGGCTAACTCCATTTAGGGGACTTATAACTCTACTTATAACCTACTTACTAAATCCCCTGGGCCTCTCAACCCTAAACCCTAACCCTAAACGCTAAACCCCTAAACCCTAAACCCCTAAACCCTAAACAAACCATAAACCCTGACTTCTCAGCAAAGCCTCAGATTGGAGGTTCCGCTCGAAGAACTTTGGACGAATGTGCCGCGCCAGGCAAGCGGCGAGGTGCACGTTGGGACCTTCCTGCCCTGCAGATGTTAGGGTGTACGGTTCGTCTAGGGTTCAGGGTTCAGGGCTTAGGGTTTCGGGCTCAAGGTTTCGGGTTCAGGGTTTAGGGTTCCCAGAGCCTCCAAAACCCCTTAATTAAGGAATATACCTTAAATCATATAAGGGATCCTATTATAATTTAAGGGAAAATTCCTTAATTAAGGGGTTTTGGAGGCTCTGGGTTTAGGATTTTGAAGTTGAGGGCTTGTTTGGGGTTTAGCTTTTCGGGTCCAGGACGCTCCGAAAGTTCCGCGCTTTAAGTGACACTGAATTAAGCAAGGTCTAGGGTTCAGGCTTTAGGGGTTTAGGGCTTAGAAGGCTAAATCGCAAATCGCAAAGCGCTAGCGATTTGGACACGCAACACCCAAATCGCCTTGTTTTTGCTTTTGGACATGTGCCCAAATCGCAAATCGCACGATTTAGGTTCTATGCTGCGAATAGAAGATCCAAATCGCTGGCTAAGTTGCTTACGCGTTGCTTATATGGGGGCTTCGAAAAACGCATTTGTCACGCAGCGACAACCTCAACCCCTCTTTTCTTCTCTGTCGGATCCCCAAGCCGGCTGTGCAAAGTCCTGGCGATGGAAGAGGTTGCAGGGCGTTGAGGGTTGTTCTTGTGTTACTACGAGGATATTTGTACAGTAGGGTTTGGAGTTTCGGGTACTTGCATTGCTTTACCACTATGCCACTATGCTATGATTAATTACTTTTGCAGGGCTTTCCGGCATTTGCGCAGTCGGGTTTTCAGCCCTCTAAGCCAGAAGCTTAAAAGCCCTAAACCCTATGACCCCGAACCCGTTTACCCTGCACCAAACCCTGTGCTCAAAATGCGTTTTGCAGGCGCCTAAAAAAGCACTTTCAGGCTTCCAAGCCTCAAAACCCTGAAACCCTTCACGCTAAACCTTCAGGCTGTGCTCAAAATGCGTTTTGCAGGCGCCCGAAAACGCATATTCAGCCTTCAAAGCTCTTAAACCCCTAAAACCCTTCACGCCAAATGCTCAAAATGCATTTTGCAGGTGCACCAAAACGCATTTTCAGCCTTCAAAGCCCTAAAACCCCGAAGCCCTTCACGCCAAACCTTCAAGCTGTGCTCAAAATGCATTTTGCAGGCGCCCAAAAACGCATTTTGAGCCTTCAAAGCCTCAAAACCCCGTAGCCCTTCACGCCAAACCTTCAAGCTGTGCTCACAATTCGTTTTGCAGGCGCCCAAAAACGCATTTTGAGCCTTCAAAGCCCTAAAACCCCGAAGCCCTTCATGGCAAGCTGTGCTCAAAATGCATTTTGCAGGCGCCAAAAAACGCATTTTCAGCCTTCCAAGCCTCAAAAAACACCGAACTTCAAGCTGTGCTCAAAATGTGTTTTGCAAGTGCCCCAAAACGCATTTTCTTTTTTAAAGTTGAACTGCACTCCCTTTCTCCAGAGGCGCTGGCCACTTGGCCCTCAACTGTGAAACTAAACACCCATCGTAGACGTCCATGTAGTACTCGTCGATGACGTCGCAGGCCACAGACTTGTAGAAGGCACCAGAACAGCATCAGGTACACCAGCCCGGGCAGACGAGGAAACAGCAGGCATCAGTGGATCACGGCGAGGGCTGCGAGAGCGGGCATCTTGTCCAGAATCATTGCGAGGAGCAGCACCACGCGTAGGAGGAAGAGCTTGAAGCGCCATCGGCAGAGTATATGGGTCAACCACGGCAGACTCCATTCCACAACCCACAACATCAGCCAGCGTGCGGATAGTTTCACCCACAAACTCGGTCGACAGCTGCGCCAACTGTTCACGAACTGCACCTGGAGGTAACCGGGCAACATCACCCATGCGTGTCTCCAGAAGGTCACACAAAGCTTGCAACCCAGCTGTGGCACCACGGAGTTCACGAAGGCGACGAAGAAGATCACCCAGTTCTTGAACACACCGTGGTCCGACTCCAGCTTCCACCAAACCATTGGCTTCGTTCACATTGAGGGGCAGGGGCTGCATGAAACTCACGGCATCGTCTCGGGAATCAACAGGAGTCGCAGATGCTTCACCACGAGCTCCACAGGGGGCAATGCAGCACCGTCCACAACCACAACCGTTGTAACTTCACCATCACCATCAGCAGGAGAACCACCCACGTGTTCAGAGCTCACCCCAGGGTCACGCCGTGGAGAGCGCGAACGATCAGTCTCAGACTCCGTTCCACGTAGATGCTCCGGCAAGGTTTCCGGGTCCAACCACGCATCAGACACCCCATTGTGCAGCTCAAGGAGGAAGGCCCGAGTTGCACCAACCACGAACTCATGGGCCACCTGGGATGCTTCACCCCGTTGTTCTTCATCTGGTAGTGCTAACGCTCCACGTCCTCGACGAAGACGACAAGTGAGCACACCCATGACATCATCCTGCATATCTATGGCCCGCTGCATCGCCCTTTCAGTGATGTGCAGGCACCACTGAACGCTGGCAGGTAGAAGACCATCAGGATGCATACCACCCTCAGCCTGAACCACAGCTTCAAGGAAACGCCATTATCAGCCTTCAAAGCCCTAAAACCCCGAAACCCTGAACACCAAACCTTCAAGCTGTGCTCAAAATGCGTTTTTTGGCGCCTGCAAAAGGCATTTTGATCACAGCTTGAGGGTTTGGCGTGAAGGGCTTCGGGGCTTTAGGCCTTTGAAGGCTGAAAATGCGTTTTGGGGCACCTGCAAAACGCATTTTGAGCACAGCTTGAAGGTTTGGCGTGAAGGGCTTCGGGGTTTTGAGGCTTGGAAGGCTGAAAATGCGTTTTTGGGCGCCTCCAAAACGCATTTTGAGCACAGCTTGAAGCACAGCTTGAAGTTCGGGGTTTTGAGGCTTGGAAGGCTGAAAATGCGTTTTTGGGCGCCTCCAAAACGCATTTTGAGCACAGCTTGAAGGTTTGGTGTTCAGGGTTTCGGGGTTTTGAGGCTTGGAAGGCTGAAAATGCGTTTTTTGGCGCCTGCAAAATGCATTTTGAGCACAGCTTGCCATGAAGGGCTTCGGGGTTTTAGGGCTTTGAAGGCTCAAAATGCGTTTTTGGGCGCCTGCAAAACGAATTGTGAGCACAGCTTGAAGGTTTGGCGTGAAGGGCTACGGGGTTTTGAGGCTTTGAAGGCTCAAAATGCGTTTTTGCGCGCCTGCAAAATGCATTTTGAGCACAGCTTGAAGGTTTGGCGTGAAGGGCTTCGGGGTTTTAGGGCTTTGAAGGCTGAAAATGCGTTTTGGTGCACCTGCCAAATGCATTTTGAGCATTTGGCGTGAAAGGTTTTAGGGGTTTCAGAGCTTTGAAGGCTGAATATGCGTTTTCGGGCGCCTGCAAAACGCATTTTGAGCACAGCCTGAAGGTTTAGCGTGAAGGGTTTCAGGGTTTTGAGGCTTGGAAGCCTGAAAGTGCTTTTTTAGGCGCCTGCAAAACGCATTTTGAGCACAGGGTTTGGTGCAGGGTAAACGGGTTCGGGGTCATAGGGCTTAGGGCTTTTAAGCTTCTGGCTTAGAGGGCTGAAAACCCGACTGCGCAAATGCCGGAAAGCCCTGCAAAAGTAATTAATCATAGCATAGTGGCATAGTGGTGCAAGTACCCGAAACTCCAAACCCTACTGTACAAATATCCTCGTAGCAACACAAGAACAACCCTCAACGCCCTGCAACCTCTTCCATCGCCAGGACTTTGCACAGCCGGCTTGGGGATCCGACGGAGAAGAAAAGAGGGGTTGAGGTTGTCGCTTGTCAAGAAAAGAACCTTGCAGCCCTTGTCCTCTCTTCAGCCTACAACCTACAAACCATATTCCAAATCGCTAACGATTTGGTCTCTACGATTTTAAATCTAAATCGCGTACGATTTTAAATCGCTAGCGATTACCCCATCTAAGGTTTAGGGGTTTAGGGGGTTTAGGAGTTTTTACGGGGTTTAAGGGTTTGGGGCGTTTAGGTGGTTTTTATGGGGTTTAGAGGTTTAGGTAGTTTAGGGAAAGTGGGAAGTCTCTAGAGTGGAATTCGTATGTAAGGCTGGGTTTTGAGTTTTGAGCAGGTCTGTAGGATAAGTGTGGAGCTGGTGCAAAATTTCAAAAGTATCCTATCCCTAAACCCCAAACCGTAAATCTAAAACCCCTAAACCCTGCCTGTAACCGGAAGGACCTATATACCTTTTAGGGTTCCTTAGTATGTTTTCTATATGTATATACATATATATATATACATATATATGTATACATATATATATATATAGAAAGAGAGAGACAGAGAGAGAGAGAGAGAGAGAGAGAGAGAGAGAGAGAGAGAGAGAGAGAGAGAGAGAGAGAGAGAGAGAGAGAGAGAGCGAGAGGGAGATGGAGAGGGAGAGGGAGAGGGAGAGGGAGAGGGAGAGGGAGAAGAGGGAGAGGGAGAGGGAGAGGGAGAGGGAGGAGAGAAGGAGAGAAGGAGAGGGAGGGGAGAGAGAGAGAGAGGGAGAGGGAGAGGGAGAGGGAGAGGGAGAGGGAGAGGGAGAGGGAGAGGGAGAGAGAGAGAGAGTTAGAGTTAGTTCCTTCAAAAGATAGGGGTGGAAGGCTTGGGTGGCTTGGACGATCTCGTCTTCTGCTGCAGGCTGGCTGGGCGTGGTCGAGATTCTCTGCTTCTTCGCCTGTCTGTACGAGCCCGTGTCACGGCTTTGTTGCGAACCCTTGCCGAAGTTCAATTTGTCCAGGACTGGCTCCAAATAGCGATCTCTGCGTTGACCTTGTCGCAGAGCCAGTCGCTGCATGTCCGCGTTTTTCCAATTCTTGATTGCCGCTTGCAAAATCTCGGCCGTTTGCGATACTCCGGCGCCCACGTGCCGGGCATCCGTGCTCAAGTCTGCACATAAGTGGGAATGTCTTTTGGGCCACAGACGACCCCTAAGCATCATATCTGCGGTTCTGGGATTTGAAATCCGGGCCAGCTCCCAAGTTTTCGCAGGAACCCAGAAGCTAGTACCTACTTAAAGGATCATGGGACTTAGAAACTACGGCTTATAATTAGGGTAACTATACTTATAACCCCAATTAAGGTACTTATATATAACCTTACTTACTAAGTCCCATGATCCTCCAAGTAGTACCTAGAGGCCCCGGGGACTTAAGTGTTCCTGTAAGGATTTCTAAAAGGATTCTATAAGGGTTCTAACTGACTCTAACTATAGTATAAGGCTCCATGTACCTGTATACGGGTTGCTGTCAGGGGTCCTACAAGGGTTAGAACAAATAAGGGTACCACAACGGTTTAGGGTTTAGGGATCCGTGTACCTAGATAGTATAATATACAAGCTGGTCGGCTTGTAGGGAGAAGGGCTCTCTGGCGAACCCCTAAACCCTAAACATCCCTAAACCCTAAACCCTAAACATCCCTAAACCCTAAACGAACCCTAAATCCTCAACGCAAAGCTCCTAAACCTCAGCTTTAAGCCTGGCGGCGGCTTGTCTGGGTTTCAACGGGGAAAAGGAGGGACCCTTAATGGGGACCCTTATATAGGGTTCCTTAAAGGGATCTGTAAGGATTCTACAGAGGGTTTAGGGTTTAGGATTTAAAGGAAACGGAGGGACCCTTAATGGGGACCCCTACCCTACAATGGGCTATATAATGGGTATATAATAGCTATATTAAGGTCATATACCTAGGGATCCTTAATAAGGGTCCCTCCTTTTCCGGACTTACGGCTCTGGGGTTTCGGGTTTAGGGTTTGGGGTTCTGGGCTTGGCTGTGGGTTTTGTAAAGAACCTCCTGGGAACACATCCGTAAACCGAAAACCCCTGAGACACGCAAGAGAAGGAGCCTTAAAGCATAAGATCCAGGGAACACAACCTGTAATAGGGCTCCAAAAAACCACATAAGCAAAAATGAGGGTAGGGATATCCCATATAAATCCCCTTATAATGAAGCCCAATAAGGTAGGGATATCCCCATAAAATGCTTATGCTTATGTGCTTTTTGGGTCCCTAATGTAAAGAACCTCCTGGGAACACAACCTGTAAAGAACAAACAAGCGTCCACGGCGTCCCCTTCTGTTGGGTTTACTTACCTTTAGTTAGTAGGGAATGGAGGAATGGGGTAGAATTATAGTTACTATTACTACTATTCTTCCATTCCCTACTAACCAAAGGTAAGTTATAGGATTACTAAGGCTCCTATATTATCGTACCCTTACAGATCCCTTATAGCAACCCTTAACTTATAGACCCCTCTATGAGGCCCCTTCCATTCCCTACTAACCAAAGGTAAGTTTAGGGTGCTGGGGCTTCTTCCTTCGGGCTTTGTTGCAACATCCTGAGAAACATGGAAAGCAGCAGATGCGAAACAGTGATTTTGCTACCGATCTCCGCAGAATTTCACTCGGCATGCACGACAACTTAATAGGAGCACACGCAGTGAAACAAAGGCTTTAAGAGGGCCTGGGCCCATGAACACAAAACCCTAAACCCTAAAACCTGAACCCTAAACCCTAAGCCCTAAACCCTAAACCGCCATGAACACAACACCATACTACACACGGCTGGAGCAGGCCTCCGTCTGCACTCACTCAAGTTCCGAAAGAGCCTTCCATAATGTAGGGGCCGTTATTATTAGAATAGGGTTTGGGGATATAATATACTATGCTTATAAGAAGGAACCCCCGATACGATCTTCTAATTATTAAGGCCCCTACATTACACTACCGGAATCAGTCTCCTGAAAACATGGACGTGGCAATAATGTTGTGGCCTCAACAGCAAAGCGAACCCTTAAAGAATGTCATTGTTACTGCTATGGAAAAGCTAAAGCCATAAGGTCCTAGCTAGGCCCCAAACAGGTATGAAAGCCCCTTCCCTGAACCCTAGACCCTAAACCCACTATACCCTAAACGCCCCAGACCCTAAACCTATGCCCTAAACCGAACCAGTAAACCTCTGCTAGAACGATATGCTGCTGGCCTATGGGAAGTCCGGCGGCCACGACCAGTATCAGGCTGGCAGCCTCCACTACTCGGCGGATTAGCTGACCTCCTTGCTTACGGGTTCCCCCTAAACGCTAAACCCTAAACCCTAAACCCCTAACCCCTAAACCCCTAAACCCTTAAACCCTAAACCCTAAACCCCTAACCCCTAAACCCTAAACCCCTAAACCGGGCTTGGATGACCGTGCAAGTCCGGTCGGATCGAGGTATGTCAATTAGAGCTGCCACAGGTAGCTGTACTTGTAGCTGGGGGGGGCGAACCCAGAGACTCCAATACCCCTTGATTAAGGAATATTCCTTAAATGATAGGAAGGATCCCTAATATGATTTAAGGTATATTCCCTAATTAAGGGATATTGGAGTCTCTGGGAAGCCGTGCACCTTAAGCCTAAACCTGTCATCTGCGGGGGGTATGAAAGGCACCCCCGGAACATGAAAGAGCTGCTTAGCTCTGCATGGCCGACGTGGCGACACAGTTTCTCTCAGGATAGGCACTAACTAACCATTGATATTGGGGGAGCTAAGGAGCCAGGGATCATGATAATTCCAATTAAATAAGGAGCTAAAGAGCCAAGGGAACCCCAAAACCACTGGTTAGCTAAAGCTAGCTGACATCCAAAGCTTTACACCCTGGCCTTAGCCCCCGCCGCCTGGAAACCCCACCCTAATCCCGAAGTGCATCCCAATGCCCAACCCAGCCAATTCCAACATGCCAAACATCTTGCAGGCATTCCACAAAAATGTGCGTTTCATTATGGCCTGGGATGTAAGGTTCATACGAGTCGGCCGGTGCCTCCTGTAACCTCCTTGCTTGGTAAGACTTCAGCAGGATGACTCGCAAGGGCTTTGAAGAAAGATTGCAATACAAGGGCCTTGACAGTTAGAGTAGGGTTCGATTGAGGCTGGTTCCGTTGAGGGTTCTATAAGGGGCTACTACAAGGGTTGCTACAAGGCTTTAGCACAAAGGCCAGACAGGATGGAATAGGGTTGAGGTGTGCGCCATGATGTGCCTACACAGGAACGACGGGAGGTAGTATTACCAGGATCCTTATTATAAGGACCCCCAAATAAGGTACCCCTCATTTTGGCGATTCGGATTACTCCGACCTTTAAGCGCCAAAAAAATCAGGCGGCCTTGACACAGAAGGTGCGGACAGATAGGAAAACCTCGGCGACTGCCCGAGCCGGAACTGGCAATGAGCCTAAGAGGTAGCCTAAACCCTGAACTCCCTAAACCCACTTATCTCAGAGAAGCCCTTTCTGGGCTTATGGCTTCTGGTCTAGCTGTGGCCCAAAAGAACAACCCTTCTTAAAGAACTATAGATAGAAGCCAGAATAAGGAGCCCTAAATGCCCTTCTGGTAGCTTTACATGGCTACAGAAAGGCATTAGGGTGTCACATGGCTTTGAGTTTGGGGTTTAGGGCTTAGGTCTAGGGTGAAATTTAGGGCTTAAGGTTTAGGGTTTAGAGGTTAGCGGGTAGTTTAGGGGTTAGGGCTTAGGGCTTAGGGTTTAACACGGTTGTTTTGCTAGCCCAGACCCCCGGGAGGATCCAAAAAGTGGATCCTTTAACGAGGTTTCCTGTAAAGTACCCTCAGTAATATAGGGCCACAAACTAGGGGAAAGTAGAAGATCCCTATAAACCCTAAAGGATCCCGTAGAGGATCCCTTTAAGGAGCTCTACTAAGCCCCAAAATATCCCGGGGGTCTGGGAGATAAAGGCAGACAGACTCCAAATCCTCCAGGGTGCGAGGCTCGAAACAACCGATCAGAAAAAGGACCGGTCCATCAGCCCTTCATTCACAAAGGAAAGGCTTTTGGGTTCAGGGCTCAGGGTTTAGGGTAATACGGTTAACAAAAGAAACAAAGAAACACCTGGGTGGTTATCAAAATGAAAGCCCCTTTTTGGGCACCCTAGATACTAGGTGCCGTACTATAATAAGGACCCAAAAGGGGACCATATTTTTGACAACCACCCACATAGTGGAATGTAGGATTCTATACTAGGAATTACTATTATGATTTGGGGAGGTTTTCCTCATAACAATACCTAGGACCCTTTGGGGAAGTACTTCGAGGCCCAGGGGACTTCGTAAGTAGGTAATAAGTAGAGTTATAAATAAATGCTCTAAATGTGGTTACCCCAACCCCAAAAGGAGACCATAATTTTGACAACCACCCACGTGGCTTTTGAGGAAGGCCATAAGCCCAGACTAAACCCTAAACCCCTAAACCCTGAACCCTAAACCCCTAAACCCTAAACCCCTAAACCCTGAACCCTACACCCCTAAACCCTATACCCCTAAACCCCAAACCCTAAACCCTAAACCCTAAACCCTTACAGAATCCCTATAGATCCCTTTAACGGGGCCCTTAAGGAACCCCTTATAGTTACTAAGGAGCCCTTTAAAGGAACCCTTATAGATCCCTTTTAAAGGAACCCCTAAACCCCTTTAAGGAACCCCATAGATCCCTTTAAGGAGCCCTTTAAGGAACCCTTATAGATCCCTTTTAAAGGAACCCCTAAACCCCTTCAAGGAACCCTATAGATCCCTTTAAGGAGCCCTTTAAGGAACCCTTATAGATCCCTTTTAAAGGAACCCCTAAACCCCTTTAAGGAACCCTATAGATCCCTTTAAGGAGCCCTTTAAGGAACCCTTATAGATCCCTTTTAAAGGAACCCCTAAACCCCTTTAAGGAACCCTATAGATCCCTTTAAGGAGCCCTTTAAGGAACCCTTATAGATCCCTTTTAAAGGAACCCCTAAACCCCTTTAAGGAACCCTATAGATCCCTTTAAGGAGCCCTTTAAGCAACCCCAAGTCTACGGCCGAGGAACCAAGGAGGCCGGGGCTCGGCTCAAACTCGAATCCGCCAGCGTCACATTGCCAAAGAACATGGCCTTCCTCAAAAACCGCGTGTTTAGAGGGTGGGCTTTGGGGTTTAGGGTTTAGGGGTTTAGGGATTAGGGTTTAGGGTTTAGGGGTTTAGGGATTAGGGTTTAGGGTTTAGGGGTTTAGGGATTAGGGTTTAGGGTTTAGGGGTTTAGGGGGTGTGGGCTTTTGGGGTTTAGGGTTTAGGGCTTAGGCTTCTGGGTTTATGGCCTTCCTCAAAGACCCACGAGCTTAGGGGGTTTAGGTGTTTAGGGGTTTAGGGTTTTAGGGATTAGGGATTATAGGGTTTAGGGGGTAGGCTTTGTTTTTTTTTTTAAGGACCCTTTTTCTGTCTGCACTCTGCGTCTAGAAAGCCCCACTGGGCTTTTGGGTTTAGGGTTTAGGGCTTAGGCTTCTGGGTTTATGGCCTTCCTCAAAAACCGCGTAGGTGGTTGTCAAAATTATGGTCCCCTTTTTGGGTCCCTTATATAGTACGGCACCGAATATTTAGGGTACCCAAACAAGGGATCCTAATTTAGACAACCACCCACGTGTTTAGGGTTTAGGGGGTGGGCTTTGGGGTTTAGGGTTTAGGGCTTAGGCTTCTGGGTTTATGGCCTTCCTCAAAACCACTGTGTGTTTAAGAGGTGTGGGCTGTTGGGGTTTAGAGTTTAGGGCTTAGGCTTCTGGGCTTATGGCCTTCCTCAAAAACCACGTGTTTAGGAGGTTCATGATCAATTTTTAGTGGGGTGATAAGATGTGAGCTAGAAGTTCCCTAATATGTCCCTGGGGAGTGGGCTTTTGGGCTTAGGGTCTAGGGCTTAGGTCTTTGGGTTTAAAGCTTTTGGGTTTAGGGTTTAGGGCTTAGGCTTTTGGGTGTAGGGCAGAGGCTGTTGGGCTATGGATTGTGGAAGAAAGGGGTTGGGTTCAGGGGCGTGAGGGCGGAATCTTACGGCTTCGAAGTAGAGTGAGATAGCGGAAATAATGACTAGAAAAGGTTCGCGGCTACATAAAGCTAGTGGCTGCACCGTAGCATAATTTTCTGATACGGGGACGTCAGCGGGCTTTTGGCAAAAGTTGTGCCGACCTCTAAGTTAGCTTCCGGCATTGACTAGAACTTCATCTTTGCATGTAAACCTTTGAATCTTCGTCCAATGTAAACGGCTTCCGGGCCAGAAGGGTCGCTGTAGGGTTTAAGAGGGTTTAGGCCCATTGACATGAAAGTTGCAGAGCTTGTAATTGGGTGTTACAACAATGTCCCAAGTCTCAACCCCGAGGGCCCAAGCACCTAATAATCATATACTCTCCAAAATCCTAACCTACATAACTATTCTAAAACCGAGTACCTAATTTTTGGGTCCTTTGGACCCTTGGGGCAAGGGCTTTACGGGATGGGCGTGAGCTCATGCGGCGTTGCTTTGTTCCGACGAGTTTGGGTCCCTGGCTTACCCAGACCTTCCAAAATCCCTCAAGTAAGGAATTTCCTGAAATCAGTTAAGGGTTTAGGGCTTAGGGTTTAGGGTTTAAAAATGGACCCTACTATACTTTAAGGTATATTACTAATCCTCAATCAAGGGGTGTTGGAGGCTCTGGGTAGTCATAGCCACGCCACATCTGCGGGTAGCCGCTGCCCTCCGCCGTGGGTGTCGTGCGCACCAACAGGCGCGCTAGGGCCACATACCTTGGTCTGGGAGCAACAACGTCCAGCCCTGCCTTTGGGCGCCTCTCAATCAAACCACCACCCTGCACCTACTTGGAGGATCATGGGACTTAGTAAGTAAGGTTATAAGTACCTTAATTGGGGTTATAAGTAGTTATAAGTATAGTTACCCTAAATATAACCCTAGTTACTAAGTCCCATGATCCTTTAAGTAGATCAGGGCGCATAGGATTCAGGCTCAAGAGCTGACTATTTTCAGATACTGCGGACGTCAGGCTGTGACCAAAAGAACCCGAGACGCCTGAATTAAGGAATGGTCGTTGAAGTTGATACATGAAGTTTCTAAGCAAACCACGAACTGAGGGGCCCATGAACCCTCCAAAGAACTCCAACCAAGCCCTACAAACCCCTTTAGAAACATACAATCTCAATAAACCCCAATGCAAAGAAACCTGATAAAGCCCTCTACTCCTCAAAACAACCCGAACAGAACCCACATACAAAGCCCTATGTTCCGTAGACAGAACCCTCATACTCCTCTCTTCCGCAATAAGCATACTGGATTCTCAGTGAAGCCAGAATCTTAAACCCAAAAACCTAAGACCCTAAACCCTAAACCCGAAACCTAAGACCGAATGATAACGCTCGACCGTTCAACGGCCGCCCACTGACTCAAAGGCGCGCGAGGTTCACAGCCACGGTGATGCCTGAGCCGGAGAGAAGCCAAGGGCGTCTGGGCTTCACAAGGGCTGCCATAGAGCTCTTATAACGGTGTATGTCGGATTTGCAACGTTTCTTCTAGTTACGGCTTTTGAAAGGATTTAGTCATTTAGGGTTCATCTCCGGTGTATATGGCTCTTACATGAGGCTCAAACAGAGTTTTGGAAGGGTTCGGGGGAGTTGCAGTCTCGGGCAGTACACCATAAATACACGAGGGATGTCGATTGGATTTTGGGTTGGATATTCTGTTTCTAGGCAAGAGCGGCATCTACACGCCTTGCTTACCTTGGTTTCCACAGTGAGGGACATCATGTAGAACTAGATACTACTTAAAGGATCATGGGACTTAGTAACCAGGGTTATATTTAGGGTAACTATGCTTATAACTCCTTATAACCCCAATTAAGGTACTTATAACCTTACTTACTAAGTCCCATGAACCTCCAAGTAAAACTACCTCATGTTTGGGAAGCAAAAGGCCCCCCAAGCCCAAGAATTGAAATCATCCCGGTAAATTCCTATCCGTACTCTCTGTTGTCTAAATTCTTGACTCTAAACCCTAGCCCAAAAGCCTAAACCTCCGAACCCTAAAACGCCAAACTCTAAACCACAAACCCCGAAACCATAGAGCCTAAACCCGAAATCCGAAAGCCTTAAATCCTAAACCCTACCTCCTAAAGCCTGAAGCCCTAAACCCAAAGCCCCAAACCCTAAACCCTGCACCAACCGCCTACACCCCGAAACTTGGAACACGAAACCCTCCAACTCCCACTTGACCTAAGAGTAGCCTAGGATTAAAAGGGTGCCCTTTTTGGTTTCAAGGGGATTATAAGGGAACCTGAACCCTAAAAAAGGGAAGAAGGGCCTACTCTGGGTCCTAGCCCACGTTGAGCTGGCGTGCCCAGGCTGTTGTGACCACCCAGCCATTCGCCTGTGCGCATGTAGGCCCTTAAGGGTTCCTTAAAGGGCTCCTTAAAGGGATCTATAGGCTTTCCTTTAAGGGTCCCTATGCAGTTTAGGGTTTAGACTAGAACTTTATAATATGAGAGTTTCCGAAAATTAAGGGTACCTTATTTGGGTGTCCTTAGACCCAGGATCCTACTATTCGGAGTACTATATCAGGTCCCTCATTGTCGGAAACCCCCATGTATACCCTTAAGGGTTTAGGGCTTAGGGTTGCGCCACCCCGGAGGGTTGAGAGAACCCAGAGACTCCAACATCCCGTAATGAAAGAGTATTCCTTAAATCATATTATAGGGATCCTGCCATTATAGCTTAAGGCTAAGGAATTCATAACCTCAGGTAACGTAAGGTCTCCTAATTTAAAGAATATTCCTAAAATCATATTAGAGGGATCCTACTATAATCTATGGATTCCTTTATCCCCTTATAGAACCCTTATAGATCCCCTTAAGGAACCCTATAAGGAACCTTAAGGTGCATTCCCTAGTTCAGGGGTTTTGGAGTCTCTAGGTTCAGGGGAAGTCCAGGGCTCACGCTTTAACAGCGGGGCGGCTTCGGATTGAAGGTTTAGGGGTTTAGGGGTTTAGGGGTGTAGGATTTAGGGTTTAGGGGTTTAGGGTATGGGGTTAGTTACGGTAGAGGATTTGGGGGTTTAGGGTTTAAGGTTTCAGGGCTTGGGTGGGTGAGGTCTTGGGGCTCAGCTGGGCTTCGAAAGTAACATGGCGGAGAGGTTGCAGGTGGCTCTCCTCACAGGGCTGCTTCAGTTTCGTAGAGAGACTCCACTTAAAGGATCATGGGACTTAGTAACTAGGGTTATATTTAGGGTAACTATACACACAACTACTTATAACCCCAATTAAGGTACTTATAACCTTACTTACTAAGTCCCATGATCCTCCAAGCAAGATCCCTTAATTCATCAATATTCCTCAAATTATACTAGGATCCCTAGTATGATATATGGAAGATTCCTTTATTTTAGGGATATTGGAGTGTCTGGGTTCAAGTTTGTTTAGGTCTTTGGGTTTGCAACTTAGTATCTAGAGCTTCTAGTCTAGAAGTATCATGCCTAAAAGCCCCAGCAAACAAAACCCGAAAGTATCACTGAAGCCAAAAACCCTTAAGCCCAAGGCCCTTACCCGAAATCCCCTAAATAAGCCCTAAACCCGAAGCCCTTAAGATCCTTAAACCCTACCCCGAACCTCACTGGCGCCTGGGCGCCATACCCAAATCTTGCTGCCTAAATAACTGCATTAAAGCCTTATGCCCTGAGCCCTACTTGGAGGCGCAGGTGACTTAGTAAGTAGGTTATAAGTAGAGTTATAGGTCCTCTAAATGGAGATACCCCAATTATAGCCCTACTTATGACCGACTTACTAAGTCCCTGGGCCTCCAAGTAGACCCTAAACCCTAAACCCCCTGACAGAACCCTGATGGAACCCTTGAGGGGAACCCCAAACCCTACTCCACCAAAGTCCCTTGGGCCTCCAAGCACTACCCTGATGCCCAAATAGAACCCCTTTAAAAGAACCCATTGTAGTACCGTTATAGCAACCCTTTAAAGTAACCCTAAAATACCTGCAAAGTAACCCTTTAAAGGAACCCATTATAAATTATACTGTTGATGGACAAAAATCCTGCATGACCCATTATAAGGAATATACCATAATTCCCATAGTTTAGAGTCCTTAAGGTCATGCAGGATTTATAGCATCAACCGTAGTACCTTTATAGTAACCCTTTACGGAACAAGACCTGAAAACCCGTGAGGCCTCGGAGCAATCCTAGCGCCGAAGCGCTCGATTGGATGAACCAGGTAGTAATGCCCAGCAGAAGCCCTGCTAGGGGCTTTAGGCTTTAGGGTCAGGGTTTAAGGATTAGGGATTAGGGTTTAGGGTTTAGTATTTAGGGTTTGGGCTTAGGGTTTAGAGTGTGTTGCGGCGCGGTTTTAAAGGGCTTTCATATAGGTGTTGTTGGATCCTATGAGGCTCTATCGGTTTACTATACTGGTTCTGAAGTTTCAAGGTCTTGGGATAGCACATGTTTGGCGCATTGTGAAAGGTGGCTTTGGAAAATGAAGCTCGAATCTACGCGGCCGCTGCCGAGTTCCAACGGCCCCGATGCCAATTAGGGACCCAAATCTGCAATGACAACAAACCGATGTACTAAACTGCTTGACCCGGATAAGGAACCCGTGCTAAATCTTCAATGCTTGCCACCTGATGCATTACTTCCTTGTTTGGGAGCTCGACTTAGATGCCTCGTATCAACGCGAAGAGTGATGCAGTCAGTGAAGTTCCGCCCTTCACCCTCAACCTTAAGCCCTAAACCCCAAAACGTTCCTAAATCCTAAACATCCCTAAACCCTAAACACCCCCAAAATCCCAAGCCCTACAAAGAGGTTTGAGACATGAGCCGACAGCCTTCGAGTTGAAACCGTAGGCAGGATGCAGACGATGTTGTTGGGGCATGCCCAGATAACCACCAATATCCTTTAATCATAGCAGGATCCCTAATATGGTTGAAGGAATATTCCTTAATTAAGGGATGTTGGGGTCTGTGGAGAGCTAGTACAGGTCCTACCTCCCATCAGCCCTACTAGACCCTATCGACCAAAATTAAAAACCCGAAAACGACATTATACTGTTGATGATATAAATCCTGCATTACCATAAGGACCCTAAACTATGCGAATTACGGTATATTACTTGTTATGGGTCACGCAGGATTTATATCATCAACCGTATTGTTATGTGGGAGTTTCCGAAACTTAGGGGTACCTTGAGGTTCCTGTAAAGTAGGAAGCCCCTGTAGCATGAATAAACCCAAAGGTCCCCAAGTAATTACCCATACGGGGCAGTTGTCAACCTTAGGGCCTCTTTTTGGGGTACCCTAAATATTAGGTTCGGTATTATAATAAGGATCCCAAAAAGGGACCACAATTTTCACAACCACCCATATAGTTTTTTAGTAGAATGTAGGGTTTCTATACTAGGAATTACTATTATGATTTGGGGAAGTATTCCCTATAACAGTACCTAGGACCCTTTTGGGAACCACTGGTCATCCTCATGGGCTCCTGGCCTGTTCCACAGACCACCTGCGCATAGGCCCGTGTGTTGCCACGCTTCTCCTGACATTGCCAAGGAACCCAGAGACTCCAAAACCCCTTGCCTAAGGAATATACCATAAGTCATCGTAAGATCTCTAATATGATCTAACAAATATTCCTTAATTAAGGCATATTAGAATCCCCAACCCAAATATCCCTTGAAGGAACCCTAGGAGTATTCCTCAATTCAGCGATATTGCAGTCTCTGGGAACTATACCTGAACTTAGAACCCTAGCAAAACTTAGAATTTTTGCTGTTTCTTAGGGATTATAATAACCAAAAATTGAATTTATTTCTAAGTACCCCTAAGGATATTGCAGTCTCTGGGAAGTCCTGCAGGCTCCTAAGTAGGGGCAAGGGCTCTTAAAGGGCTCCTTAAAGGGATAGGGTTCCTTAGAGGGCTCCTTAAAGGGATCTATAGGGTTCCTTAAACGGCTCCTTAAAGGATCTATAGGGTTCCTTCAAGGGATCTATGGGGTTTAGGGTCTAGGGTCTACTTGGAGGCCCAGGGGACTTAGTAAGTAGGGGCCATGAGACTTAGAAGGTGACTTAGGGTGCCTTTAAAGGGTTCCTTTAAGGGTTTCTAAAAAAGGATTCTACAAGGGTTCTAATGATAGTACTTAGAGGCCCAGGGGACTTAGTACGTAGGTTGTAAGTAGAGTTATAAGTACCCTAAATGGAGTTACCAAATTGTAGCCCTACGTTTAACCGACTTACAGAAGTCCCTTCTGCCTCCACGATAGGAAGCCTAGGGAGCCACGGGTGGGATCCAGGCAGGTGGTGCCATCCCAAACAAGTATAAGGGATCCAGAATCCTTTAACCTAAACACTGTAAGTACCCTAAACCCAAAAAGAACCTAACCCCTTCCAACCCTCGACCCTCATCCAGAATCCTTGAACCTAAACAATGTATTTGCCTGAAACCCAAAAAGAATCTAAGCCCCAAACCCTCAACCCTCAAGAGTGCTTTCAGCACCAGGCCGTGCAAAGACTTTAAGTCAACACACAGTCACCATCCCCATACCCAGTTTAGGGTTTAGCGCTTAGGGTTTAAAAGTTGAGGGTATAGGGCTGAGGGTTTAAAAGTTTAGGGTTTAGGGCTTAGGCGACCAGCCGCACAGGCCCCAACGGAGCTCCCAACACGCCAAATGGAAAGCAGGGACCCAAACCCTGAAGAGTTTCTATGAACCTCAAACCCTAAACCCTAAACCCCTAAACCCCGAACCCCCTAAACCCTAAACCGTTTCTATGAACCTCTCCTTAGGACCTAAGGTTTCCCTTAAAGGGTTCCCTTAAGGGTTTCTATAACAAGGAGTCTAAAAAGGTTCTAGTTGTGATACTTAGAGGCCCAGGGGACTTAGTAAGTAAGTTATAAGAAGAGCTATACTTACCCTAAATGGAGTTACCCCATGTATAACCCTACTCATAACCGACTTACTAGGTCCCCTGGACCCAAGTAGGTTAGAATACCTGCATGCCACCTTTGAGGGCCCACGAACCACCAAGCCTGCACGAGCCATACACTTCGAAGATCATGGGCCTACCTACTAAGTCCCGATGCTCTCAGTGCCGGAACTTCATTACGGCATCTTCGGGCGCGGTTTAGGGTTTACGGATTCCAGCCTGCAAAATTGCATGTGCTTCGGGTTACATTGTAGCAGACCACAGAATCCTGTGCCAGCTTCCATATTGTGGCTACACGTTATGAAGTAGAACTCTGAAGCTTGGAATATGGAATTCATGGTAGGATCCCCCACAATTTACCTTAAAAGGGTTACGATAGTCATATTCCAACTTTCTGGCTTTTACTTTATGAAGTAGAACTCTGGAGCTTCGGGCTTCGGAGTTCTACTTCACTACAAGTTGCGCAGGGCTTACACGGTTTAGGGTTTAGGGTTTAGGGTACAGTCTACGAAAAAAGGGTCCCCGCGCCTGGCGAAACAATTCGGAAGCTTCAGCAAATCCATGCCAATAGCCATGGCTGTGATGGCGCCTCGAGGCAGTGATATCGAAAAATTCAGAAGTGCCTTCAGGGTTCCCCAGAGCCTCCATTATCCCTTAATTCAGGAATATTCCTTAAGCCATATTAGGGATCCTACTATACTTTAAAGAACTTTTTGGGACTCCCAATTATAAAAAAGCTCAGAACCAGCGACTCCAATATCCTTTAATTGAGGATTATTATTCCTTAAATAATATCGGGGATCCTTTAGAAGCTGCCCCCACCCTGTAATAGTGACCATAAGGACTATATAGGATTATATTAGGGCCCTATTATATTCCTATTATACCACTATTACAGGGTGGGGGCAGCTTCTAAGGGATCCTACTAATGTTAACCGAATTGCAAATCAACCTAGATTCTCAAACACATCCACGAAGTGAAACCCAACCCAACCGAAATGCCGAAGGAAAAACATCCATACACTGACGACGAGGAGGCTTCCGGCTCTTTAAACCATACCCCCGAAAGAACCATCATAAAAATATGTACTAGTGTTAATATTCTCTTGGGTTTCGTGTGAACAAGAATTACTTTTTTTAAAAAAGGACTCCAGAGGAGACTATAGTGAAGGGTTCGGTTTAAAGCGAACCCTTCAAGGGTTCCTTAAAGATGTCCGTAAAGGTTTCCTGAAGGCGATCCGTAAAGGGCTCCTCAAAGAAATCCTCACAGGGTTTAGTACAGAGATCCTTAAAGGGGGCTTCCTTAAAGAGATGCCCTCAAAAGGGCTCATGGAAAAGATCCTTCAGGGGCTCCTTGAAAGAGATCCTTCAAGGGTTCCTTTAAAGGGGCCCACGAGGACACTACCGGTTTTAGGCAACCGGTAACGAAGCGCCGTTGGCCTTCACGTAACCTAAACCCCAAAGGTCATGTGAAGCTTGTAGAGCTCGAAACTGTCGTGTGGTACTCATAACCCCGACCAACTCGGTCAACTGAGCCTTCGAGTAGTCAACTCCAAGCTAAACATTGGAAAAAGCCACCGAAAACTTGCACAGTTTTGCGTTTCAAATTCAGGTTTTAGGGTTTAGGGTATGTGGGTGTTTGGGGCTCCACTTTATCGCTGGGAGCCGGGTCTCTGCCGAGTTTTCAGCGGCACTGATAGGCTGCCGCCATCCGCCATGCCATCAAAGAGGTGAGGGATTCAAGATTAAGGGTTAAGGGCTTAAGCCCCAAGAACCTACCTTTTTAAGGACTTCTATAAGGAAATCCCTGAACCCTAAACCCTAAAAAGGTAGGTTATCCAGGATTAAGGGTTTAGGGCTTCAGGTGCAGGTTGAGGGTTCCGGATTCAAGGATTCTGAGAAGTTTGAAGGGCTTCTTGCATCTAAGGGGTTGAGGGTGCTTTTAGAGTAAACCCCAACTTTAAATCCCAAACCCTAAGCCCTGTATAGAACCCTTATAGATCCATTTGCAGGAACCCTTATAGGGTGCTTTTGAGCTTTGAGTGCTTTGAGCGTTGCTTCGGGTTTGTGGCTGGCGCGCAGACTTTGGCTCAGGCACCGCTTCCCCGGGGTCAGGTGTAATGCAGGGGCCACAATAATTAGAGAAGGGCTCCTTATTAGATGTATACTATGATGACCCCAAAACCCTGTTCTAATCATTAAGGCCCCCTCATTAGGTTTCGGTCTCTGTGCTTACAGAGTGCTTAGGGTTTAGGGTTTAGGGTTTAGGGTTTAGGTATGGTTTGGGGTGTAGGCGTCGCGGCACAGGGCTGCAGCAGGTAGGATTTTCTTCCAGCTTGCGGTTTGGGTATCGTCTTGCGCTTTCCCGCCTACTTAGAGGCCCAGGGGACTTAGTAAGTAGGCCATAAGTGGAGTTACAAGTCCCCTAAATGCAGTTAGCCCAACTATAACCGTACTTATAAGCGACTTACTAAGTCCCCTGGGCCTTCAAGTAGTGTCGACGGCAGCAGCTACGTCGAGTCGAAGCTCCAAAGCCCTGAAACTTTACGAAACGACTCAAACCCAAGACGACTACGAGGGGATACAGCATGCCCCTGAGCCCCTCCTGAAGCAGGATACCCCTTATCTCTACTGAACTTAGAACCCTAGCAAAAAATTGTAATTTTAGCTGTTTCTTAGGGATTATCATAACCAAAAACTGAAAATTATTTCTAAGTACCCTTAAGTTATTAAAGGAGGCTAGGGGCCTGCAGGAAAAAGATTGAATCCGAATGCCGATCTGATGAGATTCTGACCGATTCTTTAAAGCATCGGTCTGTTGGCGAGGTTTCTGGTGTTTTTGTCTGGGGTGCACATCACTAGAGAGACACGACTCACAGATTACTGGACCCCCTTCGATCAGATTTTCGAGCAATAATTGCGATCACAGTCTTTAGCCTGCCTACCGCAATGGGGCCATCAATCGAAGGTCTACATTATTACTTGGAGGCCCAGGGGACTTAGTAAGTCGGTCATAAGTAGGGTTATAATAGGCGTATTTCCATTTAGGAGACTTATAACTCTACTTATAACCTACTTACTAACTCTCCTGGGCCTCCAAGTATTGCAAACCGAAACCGAAGCCTAAACACTGAAGCCTAAACCCCAGAACGGTGAGCTCGGGCAAGAAGGCTGAACCACCAAGTCTACTCGCAAGGTCGTAGGACTTCGTAGATCCCGTTGGGCTGCAGTGACCCAAAGAGCCCAAAGGAATATAGCTTAAATCATAATATGAAGCCCTATATAATTTAAGCCATATTCCTTAATTAAGGGATATTGGGCTCTCTGGGGAGAGAAGTACCCTAATTGCTGTAAACTTCTGTAACTTACTTCTCATGCACTGCATCCCCTTCGCCTGCAAGTATGCCCTCTTCAGTTGAACACACCAAGACCTAGGGCCCTATGGTTGCAAAGTATGAAGACTTCGGGTACGGAGCCGTGGTTTCATATGGTTGCCTTGCCAGCCCCCAAACCCCTACTATTTGCTTAAGAAACCCCCAAAAAATAAAAATAGTAATCCCTATATTACCCCCATAAGGAATATAGTTTGTATTTTTTGGTGGTTCTTAAGCAAATAGTAGACCCTAGACTCTGAACCCCAAAGTCGAAACCTAGTTTTTGAGCCCTACTCAACCCTGCTGAACCCTGTAACAACCTAAACTCCATGCTCCAAGTTTGAAGGAGTCCTGACCCAGAGCCTCCAAAACCCCTTAATTAAGGAATATACCTTAAGTTATAATAGGATCCCTTATATGATTTAAGGTATATTCCTTAATTAAGGGGTTTTGGAGGCTCTGGGGAGCTACTAAGTTACGAGAGAACCCTGAGCCCGCTCAAAAAAAAAAAACCTAAACCCTGAGCCTTAAGCCCCAGAGCCTGAACCCTGAAACACTGAACCCGGAACCCTAGATCTGAAACTCCCTAAACCCTACACCCTAAACCCTAACCCCAAACCCTGAAACCCTAGACTTGGAACCTCCCAGAGACTCCAAAACCCGTCAATTAGGGAGACCATACCTTCAGTTATATTAGGAATCTACCCTACATCATAAGTAGGATCCCTAATACGATTTAAGGAATCTTCCTTAGTTCGCTTGCAGAACCCTTATAGGTCCCTTTAAAGAACCCTTCAAGGAATCCTTAGGTATATTCCTTAGCTAAGGGAGGTTTTGGAGGCTCTAGAGACCCAAGGCTGTAGATGCTAAGATGGAACTTTAGTCAATTCCGGAAGCTACCCCTTTAAAAGGATCCCTTAAAGGAGCCCTATACCCTTAATCCCACAAGACCACCCCCAGGGTGCCTAGGGTTCCTTTAAAGGGTTTTGGGGAGTCTCTGACCCTAAACCCTAAACCCTAAACCCCCCCACCTAAACCCCAAACCCCCCTAAACCCTAAACCCTATAGATCCCTTTATAAGGAACCCTTATAGATCCCTTTATAAGGAACCCTCTAGATCCCTTTATAAGGAACCCTATAGATCCCTTTAAGGAGCCCTATAGATCCCTTTATAAGGAACCCCCCCTTTAAACCCTAAACCCCTCAGGTCCCGGCTTGACGATGTCACCGGACCCATACTCGATGGTCTCCTTCGCCTGCAATGGGTCCCCCCCGGCTTGGGCTCGTAGGGTTTAGGGGTTTAAGGGTTTAGGGTTTGGGGTTTAAGGGTTTAAGGGTTTAATAGAAATTGTATAGGGTTTGGGTCCGGAGTTTTGCCGGGTTTTGGGGGGTTTTGCCGGGTGTTGCCGGGTTTTGGGGGGTTTTGGGGGTTTTGCCTTTTGCTTTTGCTTTTTGATTTTGGGACTTGGGCTGGGCTGGCTGGGCTGGGTTGGGGGGCTGGGGGCTCTGGGTTCGGGGAGGTTGGGGTGCTTGGGCTTGGGCTGGGCTGGACTTTGGATGGACATGTGTAATGGAAAACTGGGCTCGTAGGCTCTGATTTGCTCTGGGCTGTGGGCTGGGGTCTGGGCTCTGCGGGCTCGGCTGGGCTGGGCTGCTGCTGGGCTCTCGTCGCGCACGTTTAAAGAAAATTCGAAACTATTGAAGATGCAGTTCGAAAGTTTTGAGCGAAACGTTTTGGGCGAAAGTTTTGGTTCTTGACTTGTGATTTCGCGCATTCCGGGGTTTTGGCCGAAAGTTTTGGGCGAAAGTTTTGAGCGAAAGCTTTGGGATGGTTTTGTTTTTTGACTTGAAAGGGCTAGGGGGTTGAAATTGTATAGGGTTTGGTCCGGGGTTTTGACCGAAAGTTTTGGACGAAAGTTTTGAGCAAAAGTTTTGGGCGGGTTTTGTTTTTTGACTTGAAGTTTTCATTTTGGGCCGAGCTGGCTGGTGGGCTGGGCTGGGGGGCTTGGTGGGCTGGGCGGGTCGGCTGCTGGGCTGGGCTGCTGTGGCTGGCTTGGGCTGGAATTTGGTTGGACACGTTTACTGAAGATTTGAAATTATTGCAACTGCAGATCGAAACGAAAATCACACAATTTCTATTTATCCTGCTCTTGAAGGTTTAGGGTTTAGGGTTTAAGGGTTTAAGGGTTTAAGGGTTTAGGGTTTAAGGGTTTAGGGTTTAAGGGTTTAGGGTTTAATCCTTTTTGGTTTTAAGGGATCCTTTTTAAGCGTTACTATAGGGTTCCTTCAAGGGTATAGGGCTCCGTTAAGGGATCCTCTTAAAGGGTTACTATAGGGTTCCTTCAAGGGGTGCTGGCTTTTTGCCTTCTGTACATGAATTCTGAAACTTGCATACATTGGCAGAGTCTGAGGGCATGTGTAGCCCAGAACATTGGCATCCGATAGGTCCAAAAAGCTGCATTCTTCGAACTTTCACGAAGATGTTGCGCTGAGGCTTCAGAACGGAACGGGCCCGAGCCAAATCCGTCATGCGAAACTCATTGATCGGTAAGAAGCCTGCCTCGGATTATTGGATTCCATCAGCTTCTTCCTCACATTCATGTTTGCCGCCTCCACCCGAAAGTGGCCCACATCAGTCCCAAGTTAAGGTTACTTTGAAGGGATGTATAAGGGCTCCTTTAGAGGTGTAGGGATTTCCTTTTAAGGGCTCCTCTGAAGGGTTTAGGGGTTCTAGATTAGAAGGGCTGAGGGTTCAAGATGTCATGGATTTCACTTTCCGGTTCTTTGAAAGGTTCCTTGAAGGGTTCCTTTTCGGCTGTAGGGTTTAGGGTCCAGGGGTTAGGGTGTAGGATCCAGGATTCAGGGGTTGAGGGCCAAGTTGAGGGGCTTTTAGGTTTGAATAAGATTTCTCCTAGGGCTCTGCAGGCGAATCTACGAAGGACGTGTTTTGCCCTAGACCCTAAACCTCTGCGGGTCAAACTACGTAGGAGTTTGGGTTCGGGGTACCACAGGGGCCTTAATAATTAGAATATCTGGTTTGGGGGCCCATTATACTATGATTATAATAAGGAACCCCCAAAATAGTATAGGTAATCATTAAAACCTCTATCTTATGTGATGGGCCCTTCGCCTGAAGCAGGCGGAGTGCGGGTGGCTCTGAACAGCTTGGGAGCATCTCTCATCGGGGGTTTCGGGTTCAGGGCTGAAGCTTTATTGCTCAGGATGTAGCGCTTACTATGATATGGATCACACCCACAAGGAAGATACTGTCAACACTCTCATTTTGTGTAGAAACCGCGGAAGTCGAAATGGCACCATTTGTTTAAACTTCACCGGATCGATCCAGAAGCTTAAACCTTTGACCTAAACCCTAAACCCTGAACCCTAAACTCTAAACCCTGAACTCTAAACCCTGAACCCTAAACTCTAAACCCTGAACTCTAAACCCTGAACCCTAAACTCTAAACCCTGAACCCTAAACCCTGAACCCTAAACTCACTCTAAACTTTAGGCTGTAAACCACAACCTCTAAACCAATAACGCCTAACACCCTGGAAAGCCGGCAAAAAGGTCGAGCTGAGAAAGTCTGAATGGAGTGTCGGGGTTAGGCGGCTCCTTTACAGGATCCTTTTAGCGTTCCTTTAAGGGTCCCTTTAAAGGGTCAGTTTAAAGGTTCCTACAAGGTTATGGGGCATAGGGGGGTTGGGGTTTAGGGGTTTGGGCTTTAGGGTTTAGGGTTCAGGGTATGGGGTTTAGGTTTGCTTTAAGGGTTCCTGCAAGAGCTCCTTGAAGGGCTTGGGGTTTTGGGGTTAGGGTTTAGGGTTTAGGATTCAAGGTTCAGGGGGTTCGGGGTGTGTCGGAAAATATTGTAACCAGCACAAGATCTGCGCAGTGTCTAGGAGTACACGACCATATCTAGACTGCATACTGTCTAGAAACACAGTCAATTTCGTAACAATGGAAGTCGTGCTCATATGGGAGCTTCCGAAACTAGGGGACCCTAATATAGTACCCTAAATAGTAGGATCCTTATTATAAGGACCCCTAAACAAGGGTACCCCCGAATTTTCGGAAACTCCCATATACATGCCAAGTGCAGATTCACGCACTGCACCTGAATTCAAAACCCACAACCCTAAATCCAGGACCCCAAACTCAGAATCTAAGGGTTTGGGTTTGGGTTTAGCGTTTTTTTTTTTTGAACTCCTTTTTGCACCTGCCTGTTCGTCCAAGCGAGCTTAGCGGTTTAGGGTTTAGGGTGTAGTGTTTAGGGTTTAGGGGTTTAGGGGTTTAAGGTTTAGGGAGTTATGGTTTAGGGTTTAGGGTTTTGGGTTTAGGGGTTTGGGGCCGAACCCCGAAATCCAAAAGCGCCTCCACTCGCTGCCCCTTGCTGTATTGCCGTGCAGTCAGGCTAAACCTGCGCACTGCTTGACTTTGTTGAAGGCTCGGGTGTGGGATTTAGGGGCTTACTTGGAGGCCCAGGGGACTTAGTAAGTCGGCTATAAGTAGGGCTATAATTGGGGTAACTCCATTTAGGGTACTTATAACTCTACTTATAACCTACTTACCAAGTCCCCTGGGCCTCTAAGTAGCGCTTCCTGCTTAGGGTTTATCGTCTCGGGGTGAGTTCAGCCTGATCTAACGAAACCGCAGTGCTCAGGCAAAGGGTCGGGGCGGGTTTGGGGTCTTGGGGTGTTGGGATTTAGGGCTTATAGGGTATAGTCCTCAATTGCGTCCTGAAGAAACAACACTCCAAAGTTTCATAAGACTCTCTATATCCCGTACGAAAGGCCCCAACTCTGAACCCCAAACCCTAAACCAAACAAAAACACTCTAAAGTAAAACCCTACAAATCCCTTTAACCCTGAACCCTAAGCCCCAAAGCCCTCGACCCCAAACCCCTACAACCCCTAAACCCCAAAACCCCAACCTTGGTATCATGGTATGATGCCACCGGGCTTAGAGATCTGAGGCTTGGGCTTTGGGCTGTCGCGCTTGAAGGACTACGGTGCTTCCCTGAAACCGAAACCCTAAACCCCCAAACCCTAAACCCCCAAACCCCCAAACCCTAATACGCCAAACCCTAAACCTGAACCCTGAATCCCAACTAATTAAATCCTAAACCCTAAATCCTAAACCCTCAATCCCAAACCCTAAATCCCAAACCCTAAATCCCAAACCCCAAATCCTAAACCCTAAATCCTAAACCCCAGATCCCAAACCCTAAATCCTAAACCCTAAACCCTGAACCCTAAATCCCAAACCCTAAATCCCAAACCCTAAATCCTAAACCCTAAATCCAACAAGTCTGCCTCTGCAGCAGATCTTTCCGGTCCCATGGAAACCAGCCGCGACCGTCCGCGAGCTCAATCTGGAGAGCTGAAGTTAGGGTTTAGGGCTTAGGATTTAGGGTCAAGGGTTTAGGGTTGCGGTTTAGGGTTTAGGGTTTAGGGTTTTGGGGTTAGGGTTTAGGGTTTGATTTTTTTTGTTGAGCTCGGTTTTACCGTCGCTCATGCAATCTGACAGACGGTAAGGCCTTAGGGTTTGGGGTGTAGGGTTTTAGGTCTGGGGTCTAGGGTTTGGGGGTGTAGGGGTTTAGGGTTCAGGGTTTGGGGCTTAGTAGGCCTAGGTTCGCTTTCAGGGCTCCATAATGGGTTCCATTAGGGTCTGCTGTTGGGTCTTTGCTTGAAGGTTTGGGGCTTTGCTTTGGGCAATACGGCTCACTGGTTTTGGGCTGATCGTTTTTCACGGGTGCAGTCGGTATAGCACTGGCAGCTTACCCGACCCCCGGGAAGATCCAAAAAGTAGATCCCTTAATGGGGGTTCCTATAAAGTACCCTTAGTAGTATAGGGCCCCAAATTAGGGGATCTACTTTCTGGGTCCTTTTAGGGGTCTTGCTAGGGTCAACATGCATTCAACTGCAAACACCCTTTATTCAGGAATCGAGCGTAAACAGTCCGAAGGAGCCGTCCAGAGATTTCTGCTCCATCCCTCCAGGATTGAAAGTGCATGTCGAAATTGAGAAGTTTGCTTCATTCTGTGAGTGTTGCACACGACAACCCTGAACCCTAAACCCTAAACCCTAAACCGTAAGTTTCTGGGCTTGAGTTCCCAGAGTCCCCTCAACCCTAAACTCTACAATATCCAGCTGTGCAGACCCAAGCCCGCCTAGGTGGGGCTTTTAAAGCCTTTGAAAAATAATAGTAAATAAGATCCTCTTAACCCTAAACCCTAAACCCTAAAGCCTAAAGCCTAAACCCTAAACCCTAAACCCAAAGCCCTACCTAGTCGCCGCAGCCACCCAACCGGGATCAAGGCCCCGGCAAAATGCAGACCCAAGGGCGAGCCGCTCACGCTCCTTGGGCTGTTGGATCTACAATTTCGGACTGAGTTTTGAAGGTTTAGGGTTTAGGGTTTTATTAAAGGCGCATTTAGGGTTTAGGGTTTGGGGTTTGGGGTTTAGGGTTCAGGTCTGCAATTTCGGATTGAAGGCGCCCCGCGATGGTGCAGAGCCCGCCATTGGCTCGATTCCTTGAAATATTCCTTAAAGTGTTCCTTGAAGGGCTCCTTAAAGGGTTCATTAAAGGCTTCCTCAAAGTCTTCTCTCAGGAATATTTTGAGGATCTTCAGGGGTGGAGAGTCTACCTACTTACAGGCCCAGGGGACTCAGAAAGTCGGTTATAAGTGGGGTTATAGTTGAGGTACCTCCATTTAGGGGACTTGCGACTCTACCTATAACCTACTTACTAAGTACCCTGGGCCGCTAAGTAGTAGACCCCAAAGTCCAACGAAGGTGTTTGGAAACCCGAAGTGCGACCGCATCTTCTTGGGCCTCTCGACAGCCCTAAACTCTCAACCCCACACCCTTGATAAACCTTAAACCCTAAACCCTAAGCCCTCAACCCCAAACCCTTAAAACCTAAGCCCCTAAACCCTAAACCCTTAAAGCCCTAAACCCTTAAACTAACCCCTACTGAAACCTTGGGTGAGGGAGCCTTACCTGCCACGCGCATGAAACCCAACCTTCAAAAGGTTCTCAAAAAGGGCCTTATTATAAGGGCTACTATAAGGGCTACTATGGGGGTTTTGATATAGAGGCCTTAATAATTAGAAAAGGGGCCTTTGGAGCCCATTATACAAATCGTTCTCCACGAAACCGAAACATAAGCCTGCAGCTTTGACCTGTGATCCTGCGAGGCCCCGGTATGATCGCACGTGCACGCGGAAGTCTAAGGCGAATGAGAAAGGGCTTGCCGGGATGGTCGAAGCCACAGCATCATAGGGGAGGTCTGAAAATACAGCGTTGGGGAACGTTATGGAACAGCTGTATAAGGACAGGAAATGTAGGCACTGATTCCTCAGATTCATGTATACTGCATCAGGTGCAACTTATAATGGGGGCATCCAGATCGAAACCTTACCCTACACCCTCAGCCTGAAGACTAAGTCTAAACCCAGAGACTCCAAAACCCTGTATTAAGGAAAAAGCCTTAGGGTTCCTCACAGGGTTGCTTAAAGGGTTCTATAAGGGAACTAAGGAATATACCTTTATTTAAAAATAGGACCCATACAAGGAGTGTACCGAGTATTCCTTCATTAAAGCATATTGCATATTGGAGTGTCTGGGAACCCATGACCCTAAATCGTAAGACCAGTCCCCGGCCCCGTTGCTCCAAAAAAGAAGCCACCCTGGGCTAGGCGGCCCGGCTTGCTCATGAACTCATCTCCCTGGTAGATCTTCCTGCCCACTTAAAGGATCATGGGACTCAGTAACTAGGGTTATAAGTTATAATTAGGGTACCTATACTTATAACTACTTATAACCCCAATTAAGGTACTCATAACCCCACTTAACAAGTCCCATGATCCTCTAAGCACAACGTCAAGGCGCTCAAGACTTCGCAGGCAAGTTTTAAGCAGGGTTATGAACATATTATGGGGGCCTTAATAATGAGCTATACGATTTTGAGGTTTCCGTATTGTAATTATGGTATAGTATAGGGGGCCCGAAACCCTATTCAAATTAGTAAGGCCCGGAAAGTAAACCAAACACCCCAGTGACGGAACTGCAATTGCCGTTGGTGATCCTTTGATGCTTCTTTTAGGCTGACCCCGAAGCAAACAGCCGGGCAAAGTAAATGCACGAATCTAGGCCAAATCCGGGTTTGGAGACCCTGTCATACGTCTTAGGGCTTACCCCCAACAAGCGCGGACAAGCGACGCTGTACAGACCCCTAACACTGTGCAGCAGACAGCGCAATGAAGAACGTGGCAACACGTCCAGCAACTGCAAACATGTACCATTGAATAAGCTCAAGGGTTTCCCTACGCATGCTCCCTCGACTTTCGTGCTGCAAAGATTTTTGCATTCCACCTCGCGGTCCAAGGAGAAGTTGAGGCAGCACGCATGTATTCACAACGAGGCAGCACGCACTTTTTTGACGAATGGTCCGTGATTTTGTGGTTTAGGGAAGTTTTGGCTTTATCTAACGATACTGCATTCCACCTCAGCGTTTTGCGCGCTACAGAGGCAGCACGCGAAAATCTTTGGAGCACGCAGTGCGAGGCAGCATGCGTAGGGAAACCCTTGATAAGCTTCATTTTGCTGATCATGCTGCCCCACAGCATCTTGTCCCTAAACCCTAAACCCTAAACCCACAGCATCTGGTTGAACCACTATAAGGCCAAAGTCGTGCCCCTGAGCAGACTGGTGCTGAGGCCGAGGGCTGCCTCAGATGACGTTTCTGGCGAGGACTGCGGCGAACTTCTGGCAGAACACTCCTTGGATACGTCGCTGCACTCGCTGTCTTCCATCCATGGCCTTTCCTGGTCGATGGCCCACTCAATGTTGGGTGCTTGGTCCCGGTCTTTGAACACTTTCTGCCCTTGTAGAGACGGAAGATGTCTTCGAGCCTATCGGCGAGGTCGGCCCCAGGTCTACATTCTAAGAAGCGCCACAAGCACATCCCTTACCCTGCATTCCTAAACTTCCCGATGTCCAACCAACCCTCAACACAAAAAGTGTACTTAACCCCGGCACCGGCCCCCATCTGGGAGTTTCCGAAAATGAGGGGTACCTTGTTTCGGGGTCCTTTTTATCAGGATCCTACTATTTAGGGTACGAGATTTGTGTCCCCTATTTTCGGAAACCCCCATCTCAAAAAAAGGAAAAAAAACAAAACCAAAAGACCCCTGCAACCCGCGACCCAGAAGCCTGCCTTCAGCGTTGCTACAACATACAAGCTCAGTGTCCCAATATAGTGGCCTTAATAATTACCTAGGGTTCCTTTTAGGGGATCCCTAAAGTGGTCTATGAGGGATCTATAGTAGGGTTCTATATTAGGGGCCTTACTAACCTAAATAGTAACACGTCGATCATAAAGATCCCAAGAGCGATCTCCTAATTGGCTGACACCCTCTGTCTCAAGCCCATGCGGCATAGAAACCCTGGAGAAAAAGCCCCACAGAAACTCCAACAACACCGCAAAAGTCCTATGCAAAAACCCTGCTAGACACCCTCAGAAACCCACACCCAGACCTGAAACTCCCTCAACATCGAAAAACTCCGGCTGCAACCCGATATTGAAACACAACTTAAACTCAACTAAAACCATCCTTAAGAAACCCTAAACCTGAAACCCTATACCCTTAACCCTAAAACCCTTAAACCCTACACCCTCAACCCTAAACCCTCAATCCTAAACCCTATAACCTTCATAGGAACTCTTAAAGGATCCTTTAAAGGAACTCTTAAAGGATCCCTTAAAAGGATCCTTTACAGGAGCCGCAACGCTTGTTGGGGCTCCGAGCTTCCCTGTGGGCGTGGCGAACTCCTCGGGCCGGGAGACGAGCCGCGTGCCCTTCCGCGTGGCCTCTGGGAGGGGGGTTCCTTTCAAAAAAGGATCCGAAGGGCTCCTTTTAAATAAGGATCGAGAAGGGTTCCTTCTAAATAAAGATTCAGAAGGGTTCCTTTAAAATGAGGATCCAGAAGGGTTCCTTTAAAGGGATCTGCAGGGGTTCCTTTAAGGGTTCCTTTAACGGATCTAGAAAGGTACCGTTACAGTTTAGGGTTTTGAGGTTTAAAGTGTAGGGTTTAAGGTTTATGGGCTTAAGGTTTAGGGTCTAAGGTTTAGGATTTAGGGCTTGTCAAGTTTGCTAAACTGAACTTGGGACCCTTGCAAAAGTTTCAATTTTAGCTGTTGCTTAGGGCTTAGTAAGCCAAAACAGGAACTATTTCTACTTAACCTATGCGTAAGGTTTAGGGTTTCGTGGGGTGGGTGGTTCTTAGGGTGGAGGTGTTTGGGAATTCTGAGGATGGTTTGCGTCGCGGGGTTGAAGTTCAGTGATCCGGACTTTGAGAAGGCTCATGAACTGTTTAGGGTTTAGGGTTTAGGATTGGGGTTTAGGGTTTAGGGTTTAGGATGTAGTAGGGGTTTAGGGTTTAGGGTTTAGGGTTGGGAAGGTTCAAGACCTCTCCTCAACCCTAAACCCTAAGCCCCTAAACCCTCGGCGGAAAGACCAAACCCGACTTCCCATGACTAAACGCAAAAACCAAAAACCACCAGCGACCTCTTTGACTCAACGGGTTTAGGGTTTAGGGCTTACCCTCAACCCTAACCCTAACCCCTAAAGTCCAATTTGGCTGGATCAAGGCCGAGAGCAAGGCTGTCTGCTTGACCTTGTAACACCTCAGCTGAGCTGTAGCTGACATCCTATTCCTAGTTGCTGAGTTCATAAGCCCCAAAAGTGTGCACTTTCAGTTTTAGAGTGGGTAATATTACCCCAAAATGCCAAAAATGTGTAGAAGTGTATCCATTCAGCTACTTAGTATTGGAGGTTAAGCTTGGGTCCAGGATGTAGTTCAGCGCGGCCGCAATGACAATCGTACAATAGGAGTATGCAGGGTTCCCTCAACGGCTTACTCTGGTGACGAATTCAATTTAAGGGTAGCTGCTGCGGTGTGGGAAGCAGGATGTCATGGCCCGGCGTTGCGGGTGTAGCATGCAGGGTTTTCAACAATGACTGTAGCAGCACCAACTCAACCCAACACCTCAAACCCTCAACTCCGATGTAGGGGCCATTGTCATGTGAATAGGGTGTTGGGGTATATCATCGTCAGCTAAACCTGAGGAAGCCAAAGGAATCATGTTGGTATTCATTCAGGCTCCCATATTACACCAAACCCTAAACCCCAAACCCTGAACCCTGAACCCTAAACCCTAAAGCCTAAACCCTAAACCCTAAACCCTAAACCCTAAGCCCTAAACCCTAAACCCTAAACCCTAAACCCTAAACCTTAAACCTGAACCCGAACCCCGGCCATCCACTCCGAAACCTGCAGTTTTGGGCTGTGGCACTCACCGTTTAAACTCCCAGAGCGGAACCCTCATACCCTCAGGCCAGGAACCTAAACGCTAGGCTAGACCATCGGGTGCCTCAAAAAGGATCCCTTCTTGCATAAGGACTCTCGCTTTGAGATTACCTGGGTTGTCCTTTAAACACCCTGAAGAATATTTATATATAGGGTCCCTGATATACCCAAAATGAAAAATGTCCCACAATCCTACTTAGTTACCCCACCTACCTTCATCTCCACCTCGGGAGCCCTGGACCCTCAACCCTGAACCCCCGAACCCTAAACCCTAAACTCCGCAAACCCGTACATGTTATCCAAACTCTCGAAGCCCCTTAACCCCTAAACTTAAACTCCCTAAACCCCTAAACCTCTAAACTCCCTAAACCCTACACTCCCAAACCCTAGAGGTACTCTACTTATAGACCCCTTAAGGGAACCCTCCAAGGACTCCTAAAAGAACCCTTACAGATCCCTTTACAGGAACCCTGATAGATCCCTTTAAAGGATCCCCCAACCCTAAGCGCCATTCTCAGCCCTTTGATCAGACCTGATCTCTGAGTCTAGGATCCATAAAAGGGTTTAAGGTATATTTTTTAACTCCCTGATAGAACCCGCTTAGATCTCTAGGAACCCTCAGGTATATTCCTTCCTTGGCTGACTTCTGAACCCCTCCTAAAAGTTAAACTTTGAGCCTCCTTATTGTCGTTCATATAGAATCCCAAACAATTAAAACCCTAAGAGCCAACCAGAAGAATGCAGAGCTTCATGAAGGGTTTTTAGGAGGCTCTGGGTGATCTCTGAGTCGGGAACACGCTTTTCTGCGGCTCCTCGGGCATCCTGGCCTGTGCAACGGAAGTCCAAAGACTCCAATAGCCCTTCTTTTAAGGAATATCTATTCCTTAGCCCTAAACTATAATTTAGTAGTAGGATCCCTAAAATGACTTAAGGAATAATCCTTAACTAAGGGATATTGGAGTCTCTGGGAGGAAGGATTTTGGGGCTCCTTGGTTGGGTTCCAAAAGGGTTTAAGGTTACGGGCTTTAGGGTTTTGGGTTTAAGGCTTCAGGGTTTAAGGGTTGAAGGCTTAGGACATTGGGATTTGAGGGTCAAGGGCTTAGGTTTTAGAGGGGATTTCGGGAAAAGGGTCCTGTGAAGCGTTCTTCTGCTATTTGGCTGGAGCGTCCTACTCTACTGGGTTCTTGTTAAGGAACTTAATTTAAGTTACCATAATAGGGGTCTATTGTAAATAATAGGGCTTCCTTATTATGGTAACTTAAACTAAGTTCCTTAACTAGGATACCCAGTAACCTAAGAATAAAAAGGCCTCTCTTTTTGGTATTGGGTAACTTTATAAGGAACCTAGAACTACAAAAAAGGAATAAGGGTACTACTGGGCATCCTAGTTAACAAGAACCCACTCTAAGGGGGCTCCCAGGGTTGAAGGGTTTAGGGTTTTTTTTTTTTTAAAGTCCCTAAACCCTAAACCCTAAACCCTAAACCTTAAACCCTAAACCCTAAACCCTAAACCGTTGGGGTTTAGCGGTTAGGGTTTGGGGTTGACTTCAATATCCAATATCTCTTGCTTAAGGAATATTCCTTAGATCATATTAAGGATCCTACTATACTTTGAGGTATGTTCCTTATACTTAAGGGGACCAGAAGTTTAGGGATATTCCTTATACTTACGGGGTTTCAGGGGTTTAAGGTTTAGTCTAGTTTGCCTTGGCTTTGTGGGGCCGAGGTCTTGCTGGCACTCGGCAGTGGCCAGCTACCCACGGCGGGCTTAGGATAAGGTTTCGAGTTCAAAGTTTTAGGGCTTGAAGGCTTTAGGGTTTTAGGGTTTAGGGTTTAGGGATTATAAGTTTCCTAATCTGCGCAGCTTAGGGTCTAGGGTTTAGCTTTCAAAGTCCACACCTTAGGGTTTGGAGTTTAGGGTCTCGGGTTTAGCTGTCTACGGCTTGAGGTTTAAAGCTTTTAGGGTTTAAGGTTTAGGGGTTTAGAGGGGCTTAGGGTTTAGGATTTAGGGTTTAGGGTTGGGTTTGGGTGCAGCAGACTGAAAGCGATTCAAGCGACGCCTTGAAGGGGGTGGCATGCGCGGGTAGAACTGGACGGCCCCAACACTTTCTACGACCAAGTCGACCAATACCCACTTCGACACGCCGTACCCGAAGCCCTAAACCCTAGACCCTTACACCCCTAAACCCTTAAACCCAAATCCACTAAACCCAAGCCCTTAAGTTCGAAACCCTGAGCTTCCAAACCCTAAACTCAAAAACTTCCAACCGACATCCTAAGCTTACACTCTACTGTACTCCCACATCAGTCCATCAGCTAAACCCTAAACTTTGAAGTTTTACACCCTAAAACCCTAAACTGCAAGCCGTAGACACCGTAAGCCCCAATCAAAACAGCTGGAAGCAGGCCTCGAACTCGTGATCTTTGGCACGGCTCTCCTCTTCCTCCTGCTCGGTTTAGAGTTTGGGGTTTAAGGATTGAGGTTTAAGGTTTAGGGTTTAGGGTTTAGAGTTGAGGGTTTAGGGTTTTTGGTTCAGGGTCTAGTCTTGCAGAACCCTGAATCTAACTAAGTTAAGAATGATTAGAAACGCTTCAATTCATGTTATTACTACAAAAAAACGATTAGTTCTACTATTACTATTATATTTATTACAATTACCATTATGAGCCGAGGCACGAGCCTGGCCTAACAAAAAGGCTGCCCTTCCGGCGCAAGGCCTAAAGAGCAAGCCCCAACAACACGACAAACAGAAACAGCAACAGTAAGCAAAAACGCGCAACGAACGAAAAGAAACGGAGCTGACAATTGCACAGCGAGCAGCTGCTGCTAACGGGTTGGTTGCCTGCCAACAAATACTTCAATGACGACTGCATCGAGAACTCCTAAGGCGCAGCAGGCGGCAAACTGCAGTCGATTGCAAGAGTAGCCGTTCATACCTCTCCCACGAAGGTAGCTGAGGGACGCTCTCAAAGCTGAGGCTTAGGCATCTGGACGTTGCAGGTACTCTGCCCGGATGCAGCGCATCACCTCTCACTGACTCTAATTCATGTATGAGGCTTGACAGAGGTTGATGGCGTTGAAAAATTGTTCATAGTCCGCCGGCACTCTGGCCAGAGGCCTACCAGATGCGCGACTAGAGGCCTTGCAGACTCCCAATTCTTTACGAAACGCCTTCGCCCGGTTTAGTCTGCTAGGTGGAGGAGAGTGTGGTGTGTGGAAGTTCACAGTGCGCGGCAGTGAAGTGAGTACGATCCTGGCGTGATCTAGCAAAACGGGGACGAGGACAACATGGTGGCAATGCCGTGTGCGCTGAGGTTTCCGTCCGGAGTGACCCGGGCCACTTCCTTGGCAAACCTCGTAAGGGTGGGCGACATGCTGAAGATGGCATTGAGCACTCCGTCCAACTCTTCACGCTGGGCCCCGGATCAGGAAGCCGACACGGGTAGGGGTGATTGGTTCGCCACCACCAGGATTTGGTGCAGGCATGGAGGAGGGCATGCGGGATGTGGGAGTCGGTGACGCGGCATGGAATGGCAGCCAGCCCTTACCGGCCTTTCCGCCTTTGCCACCTTTGCCAGCACGGCCTCCTTTGCTTCCCTTGACGCCCTGACTCTCGCGTCCTGATTGTGCCGCTCCTCGACCTCGAGTCTGCATCCGACGCGTCCCTTTCCCTTTTGACGGCACGGCAGCAGCTATGTGAGCAGAGAGCGCACCGCGCTCAGGATTCATAGGGGCCACCGTTCTCCCGGCCCGGCTGCGGCCGCGTATCGGTCTGGCATTGGCTCTTAGTTCTCGTTTGACCGTAAGCCTCCATGAGCCCATAATGCAATTGCGGAGATGAGATCTTTTAAAACAACGACATGCCATCCGCGGCCGACAACCTCGTGAGTAAAGTCCTCTGCCAGCAATGAGCTAGCATCAGCAACCTCCACTCCGGGGAGGTGTCCGACTTGGTCGGTGACTAACTGCACCGAGTAAGTCCACACTCTCTGCCGCTGTGGGCACAAGCTTCTCAGCGACAGAAGTCCATGATGGGGGATGGGCCTATTATGTTGTTTCCACCAGAACCGATGCACGACTATGCTTTACGGGCATGAAATCGGGTGGCACTGTCGCTCCACGATGGTTCTAACTTGCTGTTGGAAGAGGTGCTCTTCGGCTGGACAAGCGGAGACCCTCCCCAACTGAAGCCTTAGTGCCGCCTCGGGGTCCTCCACCAAAACCCAGCAAGCAAGAAACCCCAACGTGGACCGGGAGGACTATTGCTATTATATTACTTTTGTTTATTACTTTTCTTTCGAACCCCAAGAATCCAAACGCGATTGAATTCTCGCACGGGCTTTGGAGCTTTCAAACTCTCTGGAGGAATTCTCAAGACACTTACAAGCTCCACCGCTTCTACTGTCTGGTTCTTGGTAGGGAATGTGGGAATGGATTATGGATACTATTAATATTATGGCTTATAAGGGGACTACTATAGGGATCCATTCCCCCATTCCCTACTAAGCACCAGACAGTCTAGGGTGTCGTGTTTCCCACGGTGGCTGGCTTCTTCAGCTGATCGGCCTTGAAATACCACAAACTGCTGTAAAAAAACGGAAGCTTGCGGGGATGAGTACAGAGACACACAACCCTTAAAGCGCATAACGCTGGACTCTGGACCATGAGAGCTAGACCACACCGGTAACCTTAGTGACATAATGTCACGTTACTGTAAACGCCTCTCCGTCCAACCCTAAACCCAGGACCCCTAAACCCCAGACCCCTGGACCCTAAACTCCCAAACCCCTCAATCCCGGCTGCTTCCTAGGTCCCCTCTGCGCGAAAGCTGAATGCAAAGGCCTTGATCAGAGTATGGAGTAAATTTTCATGTAAATTATTCTTACATCATTATTATGAAAGCCATATATTCTGATATATACGATTGTGTTGAGTATTATAGCGCTAGCAGCCGTGCAAAAGAACCTTTAAAGGAACCCTTGACGGGAGTAGCCCTACTGTTGATGGACAAAATCCTGCATTACCCATTATCATCCTATACCATAGTTCCCATAGTTTAGAGTCCTTAGGTTCATGCAGGATTTATATCCCTAAACCCTAAAGATCCCTTAAAGGAGCCCATTAAAGGTACCCCTATAGATCCCTTTAAAGGAGCCATCAACAGTATCACCCTCTGACTCTGAGGGGGTCTGAAGTAAAGGCTCCTGCTCTGCCAACATCTCGTCATCCATGTCCTCCCACTCCTGACTTAGGGTTTAGGGTTCAGGGTTTAGGGTTCAGGGTTAAGGTTTTCGGGTTTAGGGTTTAGGGTCTTCTTCGGACGTTCTTGCGACGAGGGGTTTGGTGTCAGGCCTAGCCGTTCGGGTTTTGAGAATCTGGGCCCTTGTATTTGATGTGGGGTTTGGGGCTTGAGGTGGCTCATCATTTGGAGTGCGGTGGTTTAGGGTTTAGGGTGTGGTGGTGTCATAGTCCCCGGCATGGAACATTCGACGCAGGAGAGACCTCCCCCAATTGACACAGTCTGAGTCTGTTCTGTTTTTCTTCGTGCCTGTTTCTTGTTTGTCCAACATGTCGGGGTGTTCATGCTCTTTGTGCTTTGCTCCTGTTGTCAGTCTTGCATTCTGCCAGAGGCGTAACTGTTCTTTAAGATGCTCATGTTGCTTGTCTTGTCTAGTCGTGTTGACTGTGTGGCGATTTGACGTTTTTGCCTCTTGTTGATTGTTCCCTAGGGGCTCCATATCTACTACCATTATGGAGCTAGGTCCCAAAAGACCATTCTTATCTACTATTTGCTTAAGAACCCCCAAAAAATAAAAAAAAAATATTCCTTATGGGGGTAATATAGGGATTATTATTTTTATTTTTTGGGGGTTTCTTAAGCAAATAGTAGTTATTATGGTTTCAGTGGCCACGTTCCATAATGGTAGTTTATGAGGAGCCTCTGGGTTCACGTACCTTCGATTGCTTGTGGGGTCTCGTCGGTCCATTATTTTGTTTGGCTTCTTCACAGTGTTTCATGTTTTGGATATTGTCTATAGTGAACCCCAGAAAGTTGGAACATGGGTTTAGGACGAATAGTGCTAGGATTCCTTCTACTTTACCCTAAGGGCATGAGGATAATGGTGTTCCAACTTTCTGGCTTCTACTGTACTTGTCCATTTGGCTTTGCAGGTGTTCAATCTGATGGGTACTGTCTACTTATGCATCATGTCATACTGATTGCTGCGTTTTTCCATGTCTGGAGCCTTGTCTTTGTCCATGTATCGTGATTTCTGTACGATATCAACAGATCCCTGTCTCAATAGGAATACCGAATCACAAGTTTCGGGGTCTGGGGACCTGCAGTGCTGAAGCTACACAGTGCCCGCTCCTCGTCATCTTCGCCGTACGTCGCCTGCGCGGCGAAATGGGCCGCTGGCAAAAGGTATGCCTCCAGAGGAATGGCTTAAGGCTTTAATATAAGGGCCTTAAAAAAAGTTAGAATGGGGTCTTGGGGCCCAATATACCATTCTCATCATAAGGAACCCCCAAAATGGTATAAGTAATTATTAAGGCCCCTACAGAAGGGTCTAGAGTTCCGGGCTTGGGGCTTTGAGTTGAGGTTGTCTCCGAGAAGGCCAGGCCTTGCTTGGGATGTGGGCAAAGCCGGACCCAAAACCCTAAAGCAAAGGTTACGGTTTAGGTACTGCCCCCATACAGTCAGAGTCTATGATCGGGCTACTTCTGAACGGCCGACAGTTTCAAGCAATAGACACGAAGTCTCCTCGACATGACCTACTCCAAAGACTGATCGCAATAACTTAAATCCCAATCAGCGATCACCCAGACCCTAAGACCCTAAACCCTCAAACCCGAAAACCCTAAACCACTGTTTCGCACGAATTGGGGGCTCCGGAATCTTCAGGCTCAGGGGAGGATCTTCGCTTATGTTACCAGAAAAGGGAACCATACCATTTACTAAAAACCCCTATTATGATAACTCAAATTCAACTCCTTAGCAAGAATCAGGCTATGTTGATTAGACTATCGATCCTTTTTATGATATATAAGTGAAACTAAACTCCTTAGCAAGAACCCGGTTTTGTTGATAGTGCTTCATAGTGCTTTCAGCGCAGTGCTTCAAACGAAGGCTATGAGGCTCCCAGAATTTCAATCCAGGGTCGCTTGCCGACCAGCGGTGCAATGGCCTTGGCTGATGTCTTCCCTGACCGTCACTTGGGGTGAGCTTGACCAGGAATGCGTGTATGTCATGGCATGGGGGCACACCTGCAGTAGTCTCTCCCCACTCACGCTTCTGTGACTGTGGATGGTGTACTTCATTGGTGCTCTCCTCCCCTGGTCTGTGGTTGATGCATATGACACCAGTCCTGTGTTGTCGAAATGGCAGGTGCTCAGCCCGACTATGGACGTCGGATGATAGTTTGCCATCTCGTTCAGCAGCGTGGTCGACACGTAATCATTACCACGACCAATCAACACTGGTTTGGAGCTGTGGCCCCCCCACGTACGACCCTGCTTTCCAATTCATCTAGGCTGGAGGGGTCCAGCAGCGCAAACATGTCTGGGCCTTGATGGCTAGAGTAGGGTTCCTTCAAAGGCGTCTATAAGGATTGCTATAAAGGGTATAGAATACACCAAAACCGTTAAGCCATGAGCGGATAAGCTATCCTTTTTACTCAGAGGGCTTGAGCATGACGTCACGGTATATGATACACAACATGATGACTGTACACGACCATACAAACTCCTACGCAAGCTGCGATGCAAAACTACACCCCCCCTCACCTAAAGGCACGGTCACCGCATTCAAAAATACAGGATACCTTCGCCTGCAGGTGGAAGAGCGCTTCGGCTCGGAGTTTGACGATCGGCGTGGAGTTGCCTCCCGCGTCATCAGATTGTTTCAGCAAAAGTACATGTGACTGCCAAGTGCCTCGAGGAAGGGTGCGAAAACTGCATGCAAGCTTTTCTTCAAATGCAAGACGCTGTTTCAGCGCGGAGTAAGGGCAATAGGAGTTCGCCGCACAGCCACTTGAAAAATATCACAGGCCGGGTGAACATCCCTCTTACTCGAAAGAATCAGACTACTGGGTCGGCATATCAGTTCCAACGCCATCCACGTTTGCGCCACTCACGCCAGTCCTGGTTGTCCCAGTTCTGACCGCGCCATGATCCCCAGGACGACGATGACCAATTTGCCACCAGGATTGATCATCCCAGTCCCAGTCGCGAGCTGTGCGATTGGCGGCCTCGGCGTTAGCCGGGCTTTTGCCTTTTCCCTTCGCTTCCGAAGCACGGGCATATGTTGAGCCCTTGCCACCACCTGGCGGATGCTGCTGGGCATACTTTGGTTGGGCAGCGCGACTCTGCTGGGCCTTCTTAGTGGTCTCCTCAACCGTCTCCACCATGTAGTGCAGATCCTTGGCCAAAATGGTCTGTAGATCAGTGCCCACTGCGCCAGGGTCATTGTTGAGGAGATCCACCTTGCCATGGCCAAAAGTTTGAAGACGGATTCCTTCCTTCTGCTTGGCGATGTTGAAAGCGAAATCCTGAAAGGAAAGGATGGCTCCGTACCACGTGAACGCTACTGGCGTATCCTCCGGCGTGGACGTTAGTCCCGCTGCGCATAACTTGCCGCCAATGCCGTCGTCTCCAGTAAAGAAAACGATACGGCACTCTGGGACCGCATCTGTGCGAGCCTCATGCGTAGTTGACGCAGTTCTGGAGGATCCAATAGCCAGCATCCTTTGGGATCGAGAGCGTCCGGGGTTCGGCAGGTAGGCGTAGCAGAGGCAGTCGAGGACACGAATCGTTCTGCGTGTGTATCCCTCCTTGGTCATACTGATTGCGTATTCATTGCCTTGATTGAACCTCGCCACGCAGTCAGTATAGCCCTTCTTCACGGCTCTCTGCTTTGCCACTTTGGCCTTTCGAATCACTTCGCCTTCAAGTGAGTTCATGCCGCGACCGGCGACATCTTTCGATGCGCTTTGAAGGTCTGGCTTTGCCCCCACTCGCCACTCGCTCGGCAGCATCACCCATCTCCTGAAGCAGAGCTTCACGCCCTCGTGCCAACAGCGTCCTTCTGCCCTGTGGCTTCAGTTGGCCTGGTCGAACTGGCCCACCACACTGGGAGCAAATCCTTTGGCCCTGAAGACACTCGGCCTTGCAGTGGTAGCACTTGATCTTTTCCAAGAACGCGGCATTTGGCTTGGCCTCACTCCCAGCATAAAGCACGGGGTCTGGCCTTCCCACCGGCTCCTGGACTGCTTCGACAGGTACACCCTCAGCATTCAGTGTAACCTTTGTTGCGATTCCATCACCAATGTACATGGTTCGAATTGGCGGTCCCGGTTGGGCAATGATGGTTCCCGGCTCAACAAGCGGCCTCTCCTCTACGGAGGGCATTTGCTCATCACCAGGTGCTTCCGCATCATCAGCCTCTGCAGGGGCATCTGTGATTGCCAACGAACCTTCAAGTACCTCAGCAACATCAGGGATGGGCGGCAAGGTTGTTTCCTCAGCTGGAAGGGTACCAAACTCTTCATCTATAGGCGGTGCGAAATTGTCCTGAACCGTCTCCTCGACCTCGGGCTCATCAAAGATAATGGCAACGTCGGCCTCAGCGTTAGCTGGGCTTTCACCTTGCTCTGCCTCATCAGGGGGAACCGTGCCTCCTGTGCGAGACCAAAGTGTGACGTCCTTTAGCGTGTCATTGATGAACAAAATGGTCGAACCAGGTACTGCCTCAGAGCATAGCAGGCCATCAGACTCTGTAAGGAACAAGTCGCAGCCAGCTGCGAGGACTTCCCGGGTATCGAAGACGATTTCAATCGGAGCACTTGCTCGGAGTCCTGAGCGTACCTTTTGCTCTTCAAGCGGCAGCGGCCCAAAGTAACAATGCGCCTTCTCAGAACCTCCGAATCCAGGCAACAAACGATCTTCCAGAATCGCGAACGCCGCATCATGGGTCGTTCGATGATAAAGTCTGGGAGGCGCCTTGTCGATCGGGATCAACGGGCTGCCCTCTCGGGCGGCATCAACCATCTCCTCAGTGCGCTGCAGAGTCAGATAAGCCTTCGCAATGGAGGCATTGTCAATCTGCAGATTGCTGGAGTGGCCCTGCGTGCACCCGACGTACACCGGAAAGGCTGGTTGGCCAATCGCATCGGCAGCAGTATCCATTGGCCCGCGAAACATAAGACGCTGTTTGTTGTCGGTGGCGATCATGTCGAGGAGAATTCCTAAACCAATGTCGCTTCCAGGCCTGCACCTGTTCGCCACCTCAAGCACTTCCATGGCTAGGACCCACGGTCCGTCCCATGAGTACATCTTGAATTGCTCGCCTTTGTTCTCGAAGTTGCCCCTGATCAATCCCGTGACAAACGTGACCATCTTGTGAGGGCACTGGGGATAATGCAAACCAGGGGTCATGTCCTTCTGGAACACTTCGATGTACTGGGCGGCCTCCTCTCTCGAGGGGCATTCATTCCAGTAATCGAACAACTTGATGCCGAGCATTTCAGCGGTGTCGTAGGTGTCATTGATGAACCTCATTCCGCGCGATCCCTGCACTGCAATCTTGGTCAGCCGCTTCTGGTCAGCCTCAGCCTTTGCGAGGCGGGCTTTCTTGGCAGCATGCTCAGTGCCGGATTCGCCAGACAGGATACTACCACCATAAATGGATGCATCCATCGGCATCGGTCGAATGTCACCTGAGGACGAAGCTGCTGTACTCGCCGGGGTAACGGCCTCCACCTTAGGTGGGGCTTTGTTCCAATCCGGCGAATTGATCTCAGCTTCTGTCGCGAAAACACCAGGTGCGACGCTGACGACATTCTGGATCTTCATCTCCTTGAGGAAGTCGGGAACCTCAGGCGCAGGCAGTTCGGCGTGACTTTCGTCACGCTTCTCCTCCCAATACGCATCATCCCAAGGGTCTTCCTCTGTCGGTTCCGCCTTCACCTGCTTGCTCCGGGACATTCTTGACAATGTAATCTGAAGGACCTGATTGTCCACAGCATATCGGCCTCGAGAATCAAAGTAGTTCTCGGCAAGCAATGTCTTGAAAGCATCCTCTCCCATCTTGGCGATGGCCTTGGCAGCATACCTTTCAGCAATCTGAATTTGCATAATATGCGCCAGTCCGGATACCATGCGACGACGAGACTCGGAGTCCTCGCGGAAGTGGACATTGTCGTTGTAGAGTGCCAGATCTCCAAGAAATGGGTGGATGTCACAGGCGGCGAGTCCTCTACGGACCGCTTCGTCCTTGAATCGCGCAATGCATTCATCAAACTGCTTTGGCAACCCGTAGACGAAGCTGCGAATCCCTGTGCAGATCACAATAGAACCCACATATGGAGAACGGCGCTGCAGGTCTGCAAGCGATTCAAGGTTCTGGCATACTCTCCGACAGATCTTCTGCCAGTCTCCGCGGGCTTCGATGGGCGATTGATTGTCCCACCACGTCGGAACGCCAGGGCTGCAGAAAATGCCATATCTGCCGACGATCTCATTCGCCATCCAGACAATCTGCACGTCCACCAGCAGCTCTGGGTCTCCAGAGTAGCGCATAGCCGTCTGGTCACAGAGGATCTGGGCCCTCTCCCGCAGTTCAGACAATGTTTTGCCCCACAGGGGTTCGTAAATTATCTCCCTGTACTGCAGATAGACCCCCGAGCTCGCTGCCTTCAAATCCGAGGAAAGGTCTGTCCTCGTTCTCTTGCCAGCGACGAAAACGGTCGTGGAGTCGGAGAGAAGGATGAGCACCCGCTTTCGGCCTCGATTTTCATCGGGCTTTAGCTGCGACATGCCAGACTGCGTCAGTGCTGCCACTCGGTTGAGTCCTGGATATCGATCCGTTTCAAAGCAGTTGTGAGCAGCCACTTGCACCGGCATGTACTGGAAAAGTGCTCGCAACTCTCCTTCGTCAGTCGACTCTTGGAAGCCTATCGACTCGTGAGAAATGACGGCCGCCCACAGCTGGCGGCCCCAAAACTCGGCCAACTGCTCTTCGTAGGTCGCCATCGCTCTTCTACTCTCAGCTGCTACCACGGGACTAGGACCCGGCCTCAGCGTTAGCTGGGCTTTAGTTGTACAATAAAGCGATGACAAAGCTGCGCATGCCAATCCTTCTTGTACCTTAGGTCCATCATTATCCTTAGTGGTATGCACTTGCCAATCAGCATGCAATTCCGAAACCTTGGTTTTCGATGCCCTTAGTCGTCCACAGTCCTGGGTAGCTTCGA